CTCGAAGGGTGGGGGGGAAGGACGAGTACTACCCGCGCCCACCAGGGGGGATGGTGAGGGGCAAGGGGGGGGGGTAGGACGTCCACTACCTGCGCCTCCGCGGTCCGCCCTAGCTCGCCACCCCCACCATCCCCATGGCGGAGGAGGTGCTACCCGAGCGCCCACTGGGCGAAGCGCAGGACAGCCGAGACATCCCACACCACAGAAGCAAGCACCAGGCCTGGGGTTCGCCCCCACCGAGGGCACCGTGACCCCTAGCCATAGCGGGACGAGGTGGGGCCGCCGCGAACCCCACTTGAAGTCGGTGCATGGAGGCCTCATATGTGCGCCCACGCCCCCCATCACAACACCAGCAACAAGCCGATCGCCCAACGACCCTGGCCAGCGCGCACAACAAGCAGATACAAGCAGATACAATGGCGGGGGAGCTCCCCAACGACCTACCACTCAGCCAGCATTTTCCGCCACCACCGACGACTAGCACGTCTGAGCCGAGCATTACATGACGAGGACCATCGAGTCAATAACCACCACATCAATGAACGCGACTGGGTAGAGTACCGCAGGATCGACGCCATTTTTTCATGTTGTAAGCCGATGACCACCATGATTGAGTCGAACACCACAGCCCACCAACTGACTATCAGCCCAAGATCACCAACCGACTACCCACCACCACTACCCGCAATTCAACGGCGACCAGCATTGCTGAGTCGGGTACCGCGAGATTGAGGACCATCGAGCCAAGTACCACCACTCCAACCAACATGCCTGGTTTTAGCACCACAGGATCTGCATAATAGTCTCAGGCGTCATCCTGATGACCACCATGATCGAGCCGTGCCACATCGTGAACTACAGAGCCAAGGTGTACCACGGTGACCAGCACGTCTGCGGCGAGCAGCACAGCTCCGAGGGCCGCAGAGTCAGGCAGTGCAACTTCGACCTGTACGACTGGGACGAGTACCGCGGGTTCGCGCACTACGGAGGCCAGCAGTACCTCTGGCTCGCGAACCACAGCCGTGCGGCCGCCGGCCCACGAAGAGGCCGACGGCCTGGCCGCGCGCCGTGCCGCGTTGCCTGAGTGGGCGGCCGCGCGCGGCGCACGCTGAGGGCCCTGTCGGGCCCCCTTTTTTTTTTTTTTTTTTTTTGAAAACCCGGCCCCTTCCTCCCCCTCCGTGTTATTATTGGTCCTTGGTCCTCCCCCTCCCTCGGGGTCGGGTTCCCGGGGCCGCCGTCTGAGTGCCCGCACGGCCCTGATGGGCCGCTGCGGAGCCCTCCGCGCCTGCGGGGCGCATGACAAGACGCTGCCTAGCGAGAAACGGCAGAAACGGCAGGGGGAGGAGGAGGAGGAGGAGGAGAAGGAAAGGAGGAAGACCGTGCTAGATCCAACACGCACCAGCGATACTGCAAGGCACCCTCCCGGCCCCAAGCCCCCCTCCTCAGAAGTCCCTGCGGGCTTTTCCCCCTCCACTGCGGGAGTCAGGAGGGAACAAAAACACACAGACACAATTCATCGACGCTTTCCCAGAAAATATGGGAAAATATGGGAAGCGTGGGGGAAGACAAAAACCCAGAAGATATAGGAAAATTGAGAATCCTGCTATTTGTGCGTATTCATTTGTGTGTCCCGGGGCCCCTTCAGAGAGGCGCCCCCTTGGAAGGCCAGCGCCCCGCGGGCCTGCCGTCCAGGCGAGGCGCACATTTTTCCACAAACGCTTCTGCTGCACCCGTCGAGCGCGCAGGCAGGAGTGCGAACGGGCATCGTCACGCCGCTCTCTCCCGGTGCGTCCGCCGAGGGTCTCGTTCTCTGAGGGGACGGCACCCCGCCCGCGTGGCGGCCGCAGAAGAGCACACGTTTGGTCATGAACTCGAGGGAGAACCCCATGTTAAGAATGGGTCGCCCTCCGTCCGCACAGCCGCTACCGTTTCTCGAGGTGCGGGTTCCATGTCCAAGGAAGTTTCAAGAAGCGATATCCTCATAGTGACAAGAAGTTGCCATCAGCACCTGCATATACAGTTATATATACTATCAGAGTGAGGGGGCCGAACGGTCATTCATTGTCCCTGGGTGCGTGGCTCAATAGGGAGTTTGTGGTGAAAATTCTGCGTGGTGCGTTGTCGTTGTCGTTGTCGTTGTCGTTGTTGTCGTTGTTGTTGTTGTTGTTGTTGTTGTTGGTGTTGTTGTTGTTGGTGTTGTTGTTGTTGAAGATTATTACTTCTAAAGAATAATTATTGTTGGGGCCCCTGGTGCGCGACCCCCCCGCCGCGCCTAGGCCGCAGCCTCATTTTCATCATTTCCGTGAGGAAGTCTCAGGCAAAACGGGTTGGTCCGGATCCGGTTGTGTTGTTACGATCGGTTTTCCCTTGCAAAAAATAAGCTAAAGTGGACATTTCTTGTTCTAACATAACCAAACTTCAAGAATCCCTTGCAAAAAATAAGGTAAAGTGGACATTCGCGCGCGCAAGACGAAATCCTTCCAAAACCTTAGTTTTCGTAGCGATTTTAACATAAAAACATCAAAAAACCAATGGTTTTTTCAAAAAAAAATGTCAAAATTTCATCCCGCGCGCTCTTGCGGATTCGTAGGAAACCCAACACTTTTTAAACATTTCTGTCAAACGGGCTTTTGCGAGCAACTTTTTCGAACTTCTGCAACAACGGTTGCGCACCTGCCAGGGCCATCATCCCTGTCAAATAATACCATGCGGGACACATTCGTTTTTTCTTCGCGCGCGCACGCCGTCGTCGTCGGCCGCGGGGCCCTGAATAGTAGCCACGGTCGTCCGCATGCCACGAAGTGAAGTGTCCGAACGTCATAGGGCGGGAAGCTGGGTGTGGGTGGTGGCGAAGAGTCGTTTGGAAATTTGGTAGAGCTTGAACCGGCCCCCCCACAAAGTGGGGGTATTGCCCGCCTCCTATGAAAACCCTGGCACTGGTGAGAACGGTGTGTCCCCACGTGCTAGTAATTGTTGTTGTTGTTGTTGTTGTTGTTGTTGTTGTTGTTGTTGTTGTTGTTGTTGTTGTTGTTCTTGTTGTTGTTGTTGTTGTTGTTGTTGTTTGTTGCTGTCGTCGTCCCACCCGCGACCCACCCGCGCGACCCACCCGCGCGACTCACCCGCGCGACCCACCCCGCGACCCGCCCCGCGACCCACCCCGCGACCCATCCCGCGACCCATCCGCGACCCAGCCGCGACCCACCCCGCAACTCACCCGCGACCCACCTCGCGACCCACCCTCAAGGGAGGAGAAACCACCCAGACCCGACAATTGACGTTTATTAAACGGCCTTGGGCGTTCACTAAACAGTCCTGCCCTGTTCGATTCATTATTTGTGTGTGCGTTTACCAAACGGCTTCGCTTGTCGGGGCGATTCTTATGGAGTGGATTTTCTGCCCTCTACACCCGTGACCCAACAGCGACCCACCCCCGACCCACCCGCGACCCACCCGCGACCCATTTGCGACCCACCCGCGACCTACACCCGCGACCTACCCACTACTGTGGTTTCACGAAAAATCGGCGCCTGCGGCGGGCTCGTTTCATAATTTGTGAAACTTTGGCGCCTGCGGCGGGCTTCTCCAGAGTCTCGCAAACTGCCGACGTCCCCACCGCCCCCTCACTCTGATCCGCATCTGCGGGGTGATACGTATGTGCTGCTGCAGTTCATTAAGCGAACGCGCGCTGCGTAAAGGTGAGAACCTCATCCAGAAAAGCCTGAAAAGGAGCCGCCCTCCATCCTCATGAGCGCTGCAGTCGTTTCGAAGGAATTCGTGCGGCGCTGGACCCCAGTGACGATGAGCAGGGGGGCGGGGGAGGAAGGAGGGATGGAGAGGCGGAGGGACTTTTTGTTTGGACCGCAGCGAGCTTGCGCCAACGGGGGGAGGGAGAAGCTGGGGGGTCGGAGGAAGGAGGGAGGGGCGGAGGAAGGAGGGAAGAAGAAAGGAAGGAGGGATGCGCGGAGGCAAGCGGCGGAGGGAGGAAGGAGGGAGGGGGTGGAGGAAGGAGGAAGGGAGGGAGGACGGAGGGACCGGCGGAGGGAAGCGGCAGAGGGAGGACGGAGGGAGGGGTCGGAGGAGGAAGGGAGGGAGAGGGGGGAGCTCGCGGGCCGCACATCGCCGACAGGGAAGCGGCCTTTGGGCGGGCGAGCCGAGATCCAAAGAGACCCTGGCGAGCACCGCGCAGCGCACAGCCTCGGCCGCGAGGGGGAGTCAGCGGGGAGGTGGAGAAGGAGGAGGAGGAGGCGCTGACGAACAGGAGTGCGCACTTACTGCCAGGAGCGCGTCGGCGCGCTTTTTCAGGGTACAGTGTGATGTCTTCCTCCTTCCTCCGCCTCCTGCCCGCCCCCGTGTCCTCACCAGCGTTTTTGTTTTATCAGGAAGGAATGGGCGATGGCAGTCTCGCGGCAGGACAGCTTGCCGACTCCAAAGTCGCATCTCTAATGGTGGCATCGCGCCACTGGGACCTTGATGTATGAAACAACAAGTCGAGCTCTTACTGCCAGGAGAGCGGGTTACCCTTTGCCCACAAGGGCCCCTGTATTCTTCAAGCCTTCCTGTTGTCCGTTTTTGCATTTTGTGGCTTGACAGGTAGGCCGCTGCGCCTACGTAGGTCGGTTGCGTTTCTCTCGCCACTCCTTTTCTGGGAAGAAAGCAGCAGTTTCGCCGCTGATGTTTGCTTAACGTCAAAAGCGCGGACGAAAACTAGCACACATGCGGGCGACCCGTCGGAACGGGCTGGCCTGCTGGCAGTGTCACGGGGTCCTTGTAACATCTATGGCTCTTAGGGCGATCGCACGCCTGCCAGCAGACGCCCAGGCCTGGCACCGCGTCAAGGAAGATGCGCATTGGGAAATTTATTGACCTTTGATCGTGCGTTGGGTCCCGATATTTCCCCCCCCCTCTTGTTTGATCGCGAGCGCCTTGAGACGCAGCGCTGATCCGCAGAGCAACGTCTGGCCAGCGCAAAGAGGCGCGCCAGGAGCCTGTCACTCGCCCAGCGGGGCCGGGCGGGTCGCCGAAAGCCCCGACGCCGGGGTCCTGGCCGACGCCATCGAGGAGCATGGCGCCTGGCTGGACAAGGACCCTTGCGGCATATTGCCATCGTCGTTGTCGTCGTGGTCGTCGTCGTCGTTGCCGTCGTTGTCGTGCTCGTTGTCTCTGTCGCTGTCGCTGTCGTTGTCGTCGTCGTCGTCGCTGTCGCTGTCGTCGTCGCTGTCGTCGTCGTCGTCGTCGTCGTCGTCGTCGTCGTTCGACGGTCGTTCGGCGTCGACTGGTGTCGCCGTTCGTCTGCCTTTCGTCGTCGTGCGGCGGTCGTTCGTCGGTGTTTGTCTGCATGCTGGGTGCGCCATTGCGCGCAGATCGTGCGCGTCGTCGTCGGCCGCGGTCTGGAGCGAGGGAGAGAGTTTGTTGTTTTGGAACCCGCCTAGGTGGGGGGAGAGAGGGGGAGAGGAGAGAGGGAACGGGAGGGAGAGAGAGAAGGGGAGGGATAGAGAAGAGATGGACACATGAGAGAAAGAGAGAGTTAGAGAGAGAGAGAGGGAGAGCAGAGAGAAGAGGTGGAGAGAGACAGAAGAGAGAGAGGGAGAGAGAGAGAGAGAGAGACAGAGAGAGTGAAGGAGTTTTGGGACGCGTCTAGACAATTTTGGATGCAGCCGCAGCGGGAGGATGAGGCGGAGAGGAGGAGGGGGAGCGGGCAGAGGTAGATCCCTCCTATCCCCCATCTCCCCCTAATTTTCCCTCTCCTCCTCCTTGGCCTCCTCCTCCTCCTCCTCCTCCTCCTCCTCCTCATCATCATCATCATCATCATCATCATCATCATCATCATCCTTCCTCCATCTCCTCCTGAGGACGGTGGGGAAAACTGGGGGAGACAGGGAAGGAAGGGGGGGGAGAAGGAAGGGAAGGATAGGGAAGGTAGGATAGGAGGAGGGCGGAAGGGATAAAAAGAGGAGACGCAGCAGCTTGGGCAGCATGGGCCCGACCAGGAAGAGGAGAAGGCGGATAGATAATGGGGAGGAGGAGGAGAAGGAAGAGGAGGAGGAGCACGAGGAGGAGGAGCAGAAGGAGGAGGAGGAGGAGGAGGCGGAACAGCAGCTGCAGCAGGAACAGGAGGTGGTGGCGCGGAAGATCAAGAAGAAATAAGACTCAGGAGCAAAAAAGAAGGGAGAGAGACAGTGAGGGACTTTGAGATAGGAGGAGGAGGAGGAGGAGTAGGAGAAGGAGGAGGAGGAAGAGAGTGAGAAGGAGGAGGATGAGAGTGGAAAAAGGACCAGGAGGAAGAGGAACAGGAGGAGGGCTAAAGAGAAAGAGGAGGAGGAGGAGGAGGAGGAGGAGGAAGAGGAGGAGGAGGAGGAGGAGGGGGATGGGGAAGGAAGCAGGCTGGTGACAAGAGCAGGATGAGGAACAGGAGTAGGGTAAAGGGTTGGAGGGTGAAGAGGAGGACGCGGAGGAGAAGAATGAAGGGGGGAACGGGGAGGACATGTTGGAAAGTCTGCACGCCAACATGGCGCCAGTGAGGCGGCGCGCCTCGGGGTGCCCACAAGGCGCCCACGAGGCGCCCACGAGGTGGCGCGGGCGGCAACGTGGCGCAACATCGGCGAACCCACCCAGCGCACGGGGCGCCCACGAGGCGCCCACGAAGCGGCTCGGGAGGCAACGTGGCGGAACCTCGGCGATTCCACCCAGCGCACGCGGCGCCCACGAGGCGGCGCGGGCGGCAACGTTTCGCAACCATGGTGAGCCCACCCAGCGGACGTGGCGTCAACGAGGCGGCGCGGGGCGGCAGCGTGTCGAAAGCCTGGTGCACCCGTCCAACTTCCTCAAGCAACACAGCACTGTTTTGGCGGAAAAAGGAAGAGGAAGAGGACCATTTGGGGTGTAATTGAATAGTAGAGGCATGAGCTGCATAAGTAGGCGGAGGTGAAGGAGGAGGCGCGAGGAGGAGGGAGCAGCAGGTCGAAAAAAACGTGTGCAAGAGGAGGAACGTGGGCAAAAGTGAGAGTAGGAGCGGCGCGGCAGGATGACGAACAGGAGGTGGATGCGGGGGTTGGAGGGCTTTGGGTGCGGCTCCTCTTCGCTTTCATCCGCTGGGCCACATACCCCCCCTTGCCACGAACCCTGTCCGAGGCCGGCTGAATCCCAGCAGGCTGGCTTGCTTGTAATTCCACCTCATGCTCCCCCTCCAGCACCTCCTCCTCCATAGGTTACTATCCAGAACACTCTGCGCGACTGCTGCGCTTCAAAAAAAGTCTCCTGTACTCTCGGATCTCCACGATGCCCAGTGAATGCGTCGAGCTGTCCCGAGGGGATCCCTGTCCCCCTGTCCGCTGCTTCAGGAGCCATTTAAGCTCACGCCACTGCCTTGGGCCGCCGCAGAATGGGCCAGAGTTGCGGGCGGCGGTCGAAAGCCTGAGGCGCCCGACTGGAGGTGTGCGCGATGGTCTTCGCGAAGGGACCTCCGAGGCTCGCGGGCCGTGGCGCGCACCAGTGCGCGCTCGCCCAGAGTGCGGCAAGACTCCAACTCTGAGCCCCCAGGCATAACGACTGAGAGCCCCTCCCCACCTCGCACGGCCACGCCGCACCATGGCCTCCGCACCAGCGAGCCACGGCCCCGGCGCGGCCTTCAAGTGCCCCGCCGTGCCAGCGTTGAGGCCCCCCCGGCCCCACCCCGACCTGGAGCGGCGGTTGCGGCCGCGGCTGTGCTGGTGGCCCGCCGACGGCGACGACGAGCTGCTCTCTGGGAGGCCCGGGTCGCTGGAAATGGCGCTCGGGCAGCTCGTCGGCGAGAGCGACCCCCGCACCAACCTCTGCGCGGAGCCCATCGGGAGGTGGTCGAGCTCGCCCTACCTGCAGCACCCCGAGTGCGCTCCCCGCCCCTCGGATTTGCGCTCCCTGCAGAACCGCACGGGCCACCGCCGGGGCGGTTGGTGCCGCGACGACGGCTCGGGCGTGGGGCCACTGCCCTTGGTGCGGGATCTGGACCTGCACGTCAGCCTGCACTTCAGGCTTGCCTTCATCTCGAGGAGGGAAAGGATCGGCATCAACAAGGAATGTGCGCGCGTCCGCGCGGACGTCTTGGATCGGCGCTGGGCCCGGTCGCTTTTATCCAGTACAAGTTCCCTCTCGACGCGGCGCGCGCCCGATGCCCAGAGCGTACCGCGGGCTGGCCCAACCGTGGCTTCCCGCTGGGCAGCGGCAAACGGGTCTGTAACCATCGAGAGAGGAACAAAAATGGCAGAAGCATCAAAGTTCGGAGGTCCTCGCGGATTTCTTGGATCGGCGACGGACCCCCTTCTGGCGGCGCCGCTGGCGCTGCCCATGGCGCGCTCCAGGGAGTGGGGTCCAGCGCCGATCAGAGAGATCCGCTCCTACCTCCGAAAGTCTATGCTCATGCCGACTCTTTTTCTTCTGAACCAGCACGCCGCGCAGCTGCGACACACAGTCTACGGGAGGATGCCGCTCAGCTTGGAGGAGTCAGGACTGTGAAACAGCACACAGACACAAACAATTGTCGAATTCAAGGAAAATATGGGAAATACCGGAAGTGGAGGCGGAACCGAACGTCCAGAAAACAGAACATACGGGAACGTATTGGAACCTGTGTCTATTCATATCTCTGTGTGTATCCCTGGGCCCCGTCGAGGAGGGGCTGATGAGGCAGAGGTTCCAGGCGTTCGTGGGTCATCAGGCGCGCTCCTCGGGCACGGGCATCCCCATGGCTGAGGACCACACGTGGTCGCAGACGAGCTTCCTCCTCGGAACCACGCCGAGCGGCGGCCCGTGGGCGCCGCACTTCCTTGGCCGCCTTGAGACGATCCAGGAGGATGCTGACGAGCTGGTCCGCTTGGCCGCGGCGCGACTGCCGAATGCGCAGGCGCACCGCCTGAGGATCGGGTGCACGTAAGAGAGAGGCCCTTCGCCGGAGTGACCTTTTGTGTGGGCCTATTGGGGTCCCCCGATCGCCGAGCGCGATGCGGTAGTAACGTCTCCCACGCTTGTGGTTGGTCCCCCCGCGGCGCCCCTGAAGCCGCGCTCCCAAGGTCACCCTCACCCAGGGTCGCTCTTGCGTGTAGCCGAGGGGAGGCTGCACGCGGCCTTGCGGACTATGCTCAGCCCCGCCGTGCGCGCGAGCCCCAGCTTCACGAGTTCGTCGAGCCCTATGCACCGGCCGCCAGAATTCTATCTGGGCGCGATCGCGGGAGTTCGCAGCGTGTGCGAGGATTTCTGCAAGTTGATCTTGCAGGACACCGTCTGCTTCGGGTACGAGCTCCCCGAGGTTTGCGCGCGCTGCGGCAGCGCAGCTGCGCAAGGACCCACGCTGCAGAGGGATTGGCGGAGCCACTATCGAGCCGAGAACTACATGTTTTTCAAGCATACGAAAGCGTGGGGCGGCGTCTTCCAAGAGGAGTGGTGGTGTCGAGACCGTCAAGTTTAGCCCGCGGCGACTTGTCGGCACTGGGTCGCGCGGGCGCTGCAGTCGCCAGGGGTGCACGCCCACCACAACGTCGGACATGTCCAGGACGAGTTTCTGTCAGGCCGAGCGGGGCCAGGCGGTTGCCTGCCGCTGTGGCGCAGGAGCGGCATGTCGCAGTCGGAGGAGAGGGCCATCCAGAGGTGACCGTGAGACCCAGAGCTGGCGGTAAGGTGGAACCAAAGCCAGCACTGCACGTGAAAGGAAAGGTCAGTCGAACAACCTGTCAACATCTTCATTCGTCAAAGAATGCGTGCGCACGGAAGCGGGCACGGCAGCGCTTAGCCAAAACAAGAAGCGCGCAGAGGGTTCCTCTTGACGGCTGGAATATTGATAAGTTGGTGTGTTTCGAATGCGTCTGCTGCTAAACGACGGCTCACGGAGATTCAATAGAGTGCTGATGCACCGGCAAGCCGCTCGAGCCGTCGACGCAGTGACACATTCGGTCGCAATATGCTACGTTAGGGTGGCAATGTTTGCAGAAGTTGCTGGGTGGCAGGCGAAAATATACGTACAGGAGTGACTGATGTGTTGTTCGCAGAGTCAGGGTTCGCGTGCCATCATCAGATGTTGGAGTGAGTTTCGCATGGCAGCATTTCTTGTGTGCGAAAAGTGCGCCTTGATTCGCACGGGGAGCAGTGTTTGTTGGCTTGAGTCAAGCACCGAGGTAGCAGAAACCATTCGCGTATGACGGCCTTTGGTTTGCCAACCAGCGTTTCTCTCTCTCTCTCTCTCTGGATGTAGGTGCATGCTTCGCATGTCGAGTCCCACCTCGCCTCACGCCCCCATCACGTCCTCTCCACCTCCGCATCGGCCCAACTGTTGTCTAGGTGCGTCTGGCCCCCTGGTTGGAGCAGCAACGCTCGCACGACAACAGAAACGTATGTCTCTTCGGATGCAGAGGCGAGCTTCGCTTGCCGAATCGTTCCCTTCCCTTCGCCTCCTCCTCGTCCCCCACGTTCCACACCACTCCCCGTGGTCAACGTGCGTCTAGCTTTCTCTGCTAAGTACATGCCCTCACAACAACGAATGCTTTGCCAGCTTGTGCAGGTCCTCCCCCCCTCTCGCCCACCCCCCTTGAATCAGGGACTGGAGGGTGGGCTTCCATGTCAGGCGAAGGGACGCCAGAAGTATCGATGCCGACTGACCTCAGCCTAGCTCCTCGTCGTCATCATCATCAGCAGCATTATCAGCGACGTCATCATCATGCTCCCCCCATCCCCATCATCATCATCATCATCATCATCATCATCATCATCATCATCATCATCATCATCATTATCATCATCATCAGCATCATCAGCATCATCAGCAAAATCAGCATCATCATCAACATCAACGGTATCAACAGCATCGGCATCGTCGTCGTCATCATCATCTTGATCACCAGCTTCATCACCATCATCATCGCCATCATCAGCATCATCATCATCATGCTCAGCCTTATCATCATTATCATCAGCGTGACCATCCTCATCATTACTATCGCCATCGTCACCGTCTTCAGCATCGACATCGTCATCATCATCATCATCATCACCATCATCATCATCATCATCAGCATCATCATCATCATCAACATCATCATCATCATCATCATCATCATCATCAGCACCATTATCATTTTCATCATCAGCATCGTCATCATCACCCTCACCATTATCATCATCACCATCATCGTCATCAGCATCAGCAGCATCATCATCACCATCATCAGGACCATCCGCATCCTTATCTCTATCAGTTCCTGTTTCTCCATCCCCCGCCGCACCTCACTCCTTCTCTTCTTCCCCCTCAGATCCTACATCTTACTCTTGCTCTCCGTCATCCTCCCTCCCCCCTCCTCCCTCTCCGTCCTCCTCTTCCTCCTCCTCCTCCTACCCAGGCCTCCGGCCAACCTGGCACATTGCGAGGCTGTGCAACACCAGTGGCAGAGCAATAGTCCCGAACGTGCCCACACGGTCGATCGATCGATCGATCCTTAGCCAATCTCCTTCATCTCTCCTCTCTACAATTACTCAACATGAATACAACTCTCCCTCTTCCCCTGATGACGTCTTGGGAATATTCCCCCCCCCCCCCGCGTATTGTTTTTTTACACACAGGTTTCCCCGGAGTTGGGTTTTCGCTTGCATTTTTTTCCAAAATGCTGCTCTCGCTGAGGCGCTGGCCTCATTTTCGGGCCCCGCTCGTTCCGAATCGTGCTCCCGCTGCAGCGCTGGCATCATTTCCGCTGGCGCCCGGGCTGCACGCCCGAGCCGGCGCCCGGGCCGGCGCCCGGGCCGGGTCCGGTCGAGCCGGTTCCGGCCGGCGCCGAAAAATCGAGTTCCGAGGCGGCGCCGAAAAAAGGCCATTCTAATACACATTTTTCTTTTGAAAATGCTGAATTTCTTCTTCCGGCGCCCGGGAGGCCTCCCGGGCCGATTCCGATGCCCAGGCCAGCGCCCGAGCTGGCGCCCGGGCCAGACGCCCGCCGGCGCCCGGCCCGGGTCCGGAGCCGGTTCCGGCCGGCGCCGGAAAATCGAGTTCCGAGGCGGCGCCGAAAAAAGGCCATTCCAATACAAATTTTTCTTTTTTGGAAAATGCTGAATTTCTGCTTCTGGCGCCCGGGAAGCCTTCCCCGGACTTAGGTTTTCGCTTGCAATTTGTCCCAAAATGCTGCTCTCGCTGAGGCGCCGGCCTCATTTTCGGGCCCCGCTCGTTCCGAACCGCGCTCTCGCTGCAGCGCTGGCCTCATTTCCGTGCTTCCGCTCGTTCCGAATCGTGCTCCCGCTGCAGCGATGGCATCATTTCCGCGCTTCCGCTTGTTTCGACTCGTGCTCCCGCTGCAGCGCTGGCGTCATTTCCCGTGCCATGCCACGGCATGCAAAGCAATGCCAGGTTGATACTACGCTTCGCGGTGCTCTTCTGCGCCATGCCACGCCGTGCTCTACAATGCTTCGCGTACCCTTTCGGGATCACCGCCTTGCTTGACATCCGACTGTGCGAGTAGAGAGGGGATCTGCGCCATGGTAAGGGATGGGAGGGAGGGGTAGGATGTCAGATATGACGCGAGCGCACCTAGCTTGCCTCCTCCCCTCTATCCATCCTCCCCCTCATTTCTCCTCCCCCTCCTCCCTCCTCCTCCCTCCTCCTCCTCGTTCCTTGCCCCTCCTTCCTTCTCCTCCTCGTCCCTCCTCCCTCCTCCCCCCTTCCCCCCCTCCTCCATCCTCCTGCCTCCTACGTCCTCTCCCTTCCTCCCTCCTCCCTCCTCCCCTCTCCTCGCTCCTGCTACCCCCCCCCCTCTTCTGAGGCCGTGCAGGTCGCCCTGAGGAGGGGCCCGCAGAGCCGCCGCCACCGGCTCGCCTCCCACGTGGCCTGGTTCGCGGTGTTCGTGACAAGGAGGGGCCCGGGGGGCCGTCGCCGAAGGAGGGGGTGCAAGAGGAATCCTCCTCCCCCTCCCCCTCCTCTTCCCCCTCCTCCTCCTCCTCCTCCTCCTCCTCCTCCTCCTCCTCCTCCTCCTCCTCCTCCTCCTCCTCCTCCTCCTCCTCCCAGTCCTCTTATTCCTGGTCCTCCTGCTCCTCTCCTCCCCCCCGCTCATCCTCCCAGGAAGGGGGGGGAGGAGGTAGGAGGGAGGAGGATCTGGATCTAGATGTGGGTAAAAGACTCATCGTCAACCTGAAGGAAGCGTGCGAATAGGCGGCAAGACCTGTTTAGCCGTCCGCCTCAGCTGCACACAGGCAGGTGCATTCCACGAGAAATTGACACTGACACCGACGGAGGCCACAAGACAAGCGACACAAAGGGGAAACCAGCAATGAACAGTGATAGGAGATAGGATGCACATCGGAGGCCCATGACCTTTATGAAAAACTGCGAGAAGCTGTGTCGAGGCAGAAACTGATCCCCAGAGGGGAGCCAGACAGCTCTCAGAGAGGCCTGATGCCGTGGCGGGGAGCACCGAATTGACTGCTACCCACCAGAGGCGGGGGAAAACGAGAGACCAGACCGCTGCCCAAGGGGCGCGCTAGCGGGGCAGATCACGCCCTAGTTCCCGAACTGCGGATGGGTATTCCGCGTGGGTCAACGGCAGCTCCATGGAAATGCTAAGCACCACTTATCACTCCGCCATATGGCTGAGCTTTGGAACAGTTGCCTGCGCCAGGGACGCTCTGCCGTAGCGCAAGGGGTACTCTTCGTAGGTGCCCCGTGCCCCGCAGCTCAGGGAAGCTGCTCGGCACCTCGTAAAACTCCGCCGAGTAGTTGAGCAGAGGCGGAAGAGGCTGTTTTAGTAGGCGAACGGCAGCCCCGTGGAGATGCCCACCACTTCGTATCATTCCGTGATGTGGCTGAGCTTGGAAGCCGCAGCCTACGCAAGGGCCGCGCTGCCGTAGCGGAAGGAGTAGTCGTCGCAGGTGAGCAGCCCAATGCAGATGTTGTGCATTTCGTAACAGGCTGTCCTTCGGTTGAGCTTGGACGCCATCACTTGCGCCAGGGACGCGCTGCCGTAGCGTAAGGGGTAGTCCACGCAGGCGAATGACAGCCCCGTGCGGATGACCGGCACTTGGAGCATTGCACCGAGGTGGAACGCAGCAGTGGTAGACGACTAGGCAGCCCGTGACTTCGTAGGCGAACGGCAACCCCGTGGAGATGCCCAGCACCTCGTAGCACTCAACCGCGTGGCTCATCTCGCAAGCCGCCGCCTGCGCCAGGGAGACGCTGCAGTAGCAGAAGGTGTAGTCCCCGTAGGTGTTCTAAAGCCCCGTGGGCATGCTTCACCCCTTGTAGCACTCCGCCGTAGTTCTGAGCTTGGACGCCGTCGCCTGCGCCAGGGACGTACTGCAATATCGGACGGGGTAGTCCTCGAACACGAATGTCGGGCCCTTGAGGACAGATGTAGCCTTCCGCCGTGTGGTCGAGTTTTGGAGGCTACCGCCTGCGCCAGGGACGCTCTGCCGTACCGCAAGGGGCAGACCCCGTAGGCGACCCGCAGTCCCGTGAAGATGCCTGGCACCTCTTAGCACCCCGCCGAGGAGCTGAGCTGAGACGCGGCCGCCTGCGCCAGGGACGCGCTGCAGTAGCGAAAGAGCTCGTGGAGATGCCCAGCATTTCGTAGCATTCCGCCGTGTGGCTGAGCTTGGAAGCCGCAGCCTGCGCAAGGGCCGCGCTGCTGTAGCGGAAGGGGTAGCTCTCGTCTGTGTATCACAGCCCCGTGGATATGGTATGCCGCCTCTCCCGCCGTATGTTTCATTTTGGACGCCGTCGCCTGCGCCAGGGACGTGCTGCAATATCGGACGGGGTATTCCTTGAGCGCGAATGTCGGCCCCTTGTGGACGCTTTGCACTTCGTAGCGCTCCGCCGTATGTCTGAGCGTGGACGCCGTCGCCTGCGCCAGGGACGCGCTGCTGTAGCAGCAGGGGTAGTCCTCGCAGGCGAACGTCAGCCCCGTGAAGATGCTCTGCACCTCGTAGCACTCCGCCGTATGGCTGAGCTTGGACGCATCAGCCTGCTCCAGGAATGCGCTGCAATCGCGGAAGGGGTAACCCTCGTAAGCGAACGTCAGCCCCGTGAAGATGCGAGGCATCTCGTAGCACTCTGCCATATGGTTGAGCTTGGATGCCGTAGCCTGCCCCAGCGCCGCATGCCGGGCACCTTGGAGCAGTCCAGCGAGGTGGATCCACGTGTATGGGGACGTGCCTGAGCGTAGCCGGCTACACGGCAGTGAATGCGAGTGTGCGACACGACCGGGGGCGCGGCACGCATGGGCTCAACCTGAGGAGCCACAGTGTGCCGAAACGTGGCAAGATTGCTGCGACCACGGCTCGGGCCTGAGTGAGGAGGGGGAGGCAGGAGGAAAGGAGGGAGGAGGGGGGAGGGAGGAGTGAGGGAGACAGAGGGAGGGATGGGGAGCGGGTCGTCGTCGTCGTCGTCGTCGACGTCGTTGAACGGCAGCATGGCTGAGTTCAGCATATAATCGACGGGGAGAGAGGGAGGGAGGGAGGGAGGGGGGGTGGGACAAGCTAGGTGCGCTCGCGTCATATCTGACGTCCTACCCCTCCCTCCCATCCCTTACCATGGCGCTGATTTTCTCTATCCGCGGACGCGTGTCGTAGCGGACCTGTGGCTCCGCGCGCGCGTGCGTAGTGGGTGGTGGTGCACGTGCGTGCGTGCGTGCGTGCGTGTGTGCGTGGTTGTGGTGGTGGTGGTGGTGGTGGTGGTGGTGGTGGTGGTGGTGGTGGTGGTGGTGGTGCTGGTGGTGTGGTGCTGGTGTGTGGTGGTGTGGTGGTGGTGGTGGTGGTGGTGGTGGTGGTGGTGGTGGTGGTGCGGCGCGGTGGTGGCGGGCGGATGGGCGCGCGAGAAAGAGGCCCGCGCTGGGGCGAGAACGCCATCCTGAACGACGGAGGCCAAACACCGATCCGAAAATGAGGCCCACGCTGCAGCGGGAGCACGATTCGGAACGATTCGGGGGCAGAAATGAGGCCGGCGCCTCAGCGAGAGCATCATTTTGAAAAAAAACGCAGGCGAAAACCCGTTTTCCGGGAATCCTGTGTGTAAAAAAAATAATACGCGGGGGGCGTTCGGCCCGAAAATGACGCCGGCGCTTCAGCGAGAGTCGTTTCCCGGGATTTCCCGGGAATCCTGTGTGTAAAAAAACAGTACGCGGAGGGTGCGCGGCCATTACCCGGACGCCATCAGGGGAAGAGGGAGAGTATTTTCATATAGAGTAATTGTGAAAGGAGGAGGACGAGGGGAGGGGAACGGAAGAGGGGAGGGGAAGGGAGGAAGGGAGGAGGGAGGGAGGAGGGAGGGAGGGCAGCACAGGAACTTGGCGCCCTTAGTGTGCGAGTCGGGCGGCCGCCCGTCCGACACGGCCGTCGAGTTCATCCGGTCGTACGGCCATGGGCTCGACGACGCTGACCGGGCCGTGGTCCTCGGAACGTTGTGGAGGCAAATCAGCAGACGCCTGCAGACCGGCAGCGCCGAGATGCTGCTGAGTGCGCTCGGACGCTAGGCTGGCAGCTACCTGGACACCAACCCTGCTGCCCACGGTGCTGTTCGGACAGGCGCCAGGACAATGACCACCGCTACCGCGGCCACCACCAGCGGCCGCATCGACCACCACGGCAACCTTGGCGACGACAGCCGCCACCAACTGCCGCAGCCACCACCAAGGCTCTTGCGGCCACCGCCGCGACCACCTTGGCCGCCCCCAACACGGTCAACAACGCAACCACCGCAGCCCGGCCGCCTCCAGCACTACTACCACCAGCCCAGCTATAGCCAGGGCCGCCACGACCGCCTCTCTGGCCACCAGCACGGACCGACCACCAGCACTCCGACCACCACAACGACCACCGGCACGACCACCACTACCGCCCCCGCACCCCGCCCCTTTCCGCTCTCTTCCCTCTCCCTTGCCGGGCCGCCTTTGCTGCTGCAATCGCCTCCCGCCCCTTCGCCTCCCCCTCCTTCTCCTCCCAGTAAGTACTTAATTGATAATTCATGCGGGGCCCGTCGCCGAATGCGGCGAGCGCGAGGGAACGATCGGATCGACCATTCTGGCCGCCCCAGGGGCCCCGTTCGCGGGTGCCGGTCCTTTCTGGGAGCCCCTGGGGCCGTGGCGGCGGGAGGGAGGGAGGGAGGGAGGGAAGAGGGGAGGGGAAGCAAAGAGGGGAGGGGGCAGGGAAGAGGGGAGGGGGCAGGGAGGACAGAAGACAGGCAGAGAAGGAAGGGGCGAGGGCAGAGGAACGAGGAAGGCGGAGGTCCCGGAGCGGACATCCCTGTCCCGGAGGTCCGTCGCCGGCGAGGTCCCGGGAGGGTCGAGGTCGCGGGCGTGACCCGCGGGATGGCGGTGCCACGAGCTCATCTCAGTGGCGTCATCGACGATCACGGGTGTCGTTCGTCGATCGACAGTTCGTCTCCCGAGTCTTCGGCGGCTTGCTCTTGCTTGGCAGAGGGGAACCAGCGGGAAAGCGGCACTGCGGGCTCCCCTCTGCTCAGAAAGAGCAAGACTCTGATGTTTCAGACAGACGCGTTTGTTTAGAATTACTTGCGTTTTAGGTATACGACTGAGTTCTGGGATCCTTTCAGCGGACGGCTCTCGTACCTTAGGAATCTTCACCGGCCCATCCAGCAACGATTGATTGGCGAGCTATTTTGACCTGTGGAAACATACAGTGGCACAGACATGGGTAGCCGTTGTCTGGCTACTTGAGCATTCCCTATGTTCGCATATTCTTCTGTACGCTGAAGGGCCTCCAGTAGGGGCGCTGCGAAAGTCGTCTGGCTGTCTCCAGAGTTTGCCGTGGCAGCGGGCATGTGCGAATAAGCCAGGAGTCGAGCATCAATACTTTCGATAGTGGGGGCTATCTTGGGCCATTGATCAAAAGTGGGGAATTGGTAAAGTAAGCCAAACCAGTCGGAGCCCGACATTTCGTATCTTGAAGCCCTCTTGGGGCTCTCGGGCGGATGGCGAGACGAACGCGGCATGTGTCAAACCGATGACCAGTAAGAGGCAGTCCGTGATGCGCGTCGAATGAGAGCACAATCTCTCAGCGCCGAGCTCGTCCAAAGTCTGTGGCAGGTTCTCGTGGCACACGCAGTGGACGTTGTGCCTTTGCCCCGGCCTTTCTGGCAGGCGCATGGGAACATCGGGAGCCTTGAGACTGGGGTCAATGCAGACGGGGGTCAGCCAGAGCGCCGGATCTTGCAGGATCCTGCAGGACCAGGGCTGCACTGACCCGGGCTAGCGCGCAGGATGTTGCTGGATCCTGCAGGATCTTGCAGAATCTTGCAACGCCAGGCTGGCTCAGGTCTGCAGCGGCCTGGGTCAGGAGATCCCAGAGAAAACTTGCGCGAGAGTGAGAGAGAGAGAGAGAGAGAAAAAAAAAAAGAAAAAAAGAAGAGAGAGCGAGAGAGTTGCGCCAGAGGCCGCAGGAACGGCATCGGGCCCACGCGAGGAGCCGCAGGGCGTTGGAGCATCGTCGGGCTCGACCGTTTGCAGCTTCGGAGCCAAAGATAACCGAGCCACCAGACGATCAGGCGATGGTCGTGTTCGCCGATCGACTGCACGTAAGAGTGACCCTTCGCCAGATTGACCTTTGCGTGTGGCCGAGCGGAGGTCGGGGAGGCAATCGCACCCGCCGAGATGGCCGTGAGGACCTCGCAATCGGCATCCGAGGATACGACGATGGAGAAATCAAGCGGCGCGAATGTCTCCGACGCGTCGGTGGACCAGGTTGAGGCGCGCACAGCTGCAGTGACGATCACGACGGAGTCGGCCAAGCAGGCGAAGCCGTGGGCGGCATTCCTCAGAGGAGCAGGGCAGCACCTGGCGGTCCACCTGGCACGTTCGAGTGGCGCCCGCACCGTGGCGGACACTAGGACAAAGACGTGGATGTTGAGGTGACCGTGCGCCAGCTGCGTCTCTGTGGCTGGACATGGAGCCAATGAGGAAGTGAGAGAGAGAGGGGATAGAGAGCCAGAGAGAGAGGTAGAGAGAGAGAGAGAGAACATTGGATAAAAGAGGGAGAGATAATGTGTGTCACATTCAGAAGAAGGAACTTGTAGTGGGACCGTACATGGACAATATATCCGAACCCTGCGACAGAAGATGTCCCCCGGACCCCCAAATTAATATTGGGGAGATGTGGCAATGAAGGGGGGACTTGGGTGGACAATAATATTCGAACCCCCAACGCAACACCCATACCGATCTCAACATTGAAGTGGGGGGGCAGGGGGGGGACCAGCATTCCCTTCACGTCTGCATTGGGTTCGAATATATTGTCCATGTACTGGAGCAAGGCAGAGTGGCAGAACATAACTCTGTCGAGGCAGAAAATGCACAGATCGAGGGAGGTTCTTGGGTTCGCCGGTTGTGGAAGCGGGCCTCGACAAGCAGATCATGGCGCGCCTCGACTGCTCGCAGTACGAGGAGCATGTCAACAGGCGCGCCTGCTGATTCGCCAGCACCGACTGGAAACCTCTGGTGACGACGGTGAGGAGGAGGAGGAGGAGGAGGAGGAGGAGGAGGAGCGAACGGTGCAGGGGAGAAGGGGGGGGGATGAGGATGATGATGGCTGGACTGGCCTCGCATGGCCGCAGAGGTCGCAGAGGCGCTCCTGCGATCCGCGAATGCGACGACTTTTCGAGCGGGCTTCTTCAGCAGTTTAGAGGATTTTTGTGGCGAATGGAGACAGCCATACAAGCTGTTCGCTGAAAGGGGGTATAAGCCTGGCCCGGGGGACCACTTTGTGACCCCTCTTGGTGTGCGCGCCGACAAGAGTTCCGAGGGGAATCCAGCCATGGCGACGAGGACGCTCCTGGAGGCTCAAAGCGAGCGGACCACGCAAAACAAACTTGGTACCTCGAGGTTCGAAGCTCCTCCCAGGGTCCATTTCGATCCGAGCGATCCGATTCGATTTTGATCATGGCAGGTTCGATCCGACTCAATTCCGATATTCCGACGACCCGATGTGGCGTCGCCGATCCGATTCGATCTCGACTTTGGGCTACTGCAGCGCAGCCCGATCCGACGCACATTCCGAATGGTCCTGATTTGCCGATTCGACGTTGACTGATCCTGCCTCCCCGACAAACTTGGGAGCGTCCAGAGATGAGCGATCCGGAATCAGGGTCCAGGCCAACCCTGCCGAAACGAGCATGGGGGAGGCGAAGAGGGGGAGGAAGAAGAGGAGCAAGGCGCGCCCCTCACTCATGGAGGCTCACTGATGGAGGTCGTCCTGATTTGTTCAGCGCGGGGCCAAGTCCCGACCGGCCCCCAGAGGTCAAAAGTTGCCACCCTTCGGCGTGATTTTTGTCACGACGCGGGCATGCTCGGACATCGTGCGCTCCAATTTTTTCGATGCGTGGACCCCCAGAGGTCTGGGCCACTTCCCTGTATAGGGCTGGCTGTTGATCCTGAGTCGTTTTTGTGACGATCCCGCGGGATCCTGTTTTGAGGGCCCCCGGAGGCCGAACATTGCCAACAACTGGCCGCTCCAATATTTTTCGGAGCATCGGATTTCTGGGTCCCGGTCTCCCCGTATCGTCGCCGCGTTTGGTGTCAAAAATCGTTCCTGAGACGAGCTTCGTCTCCTCGCAGCCGTCCTTTCGTATCCGCTCTGACTGCGAACGCCGCCCCAGGCAATCTTTGGAGCTCTCTCCCCTGGCGACTTTTTGGGATGGGAGCCCTTCGGGCGATCTGACGGTCCGGGACTTCTGGGGAGCGTCCGCTGCCGCGGCCCCGCAAGCGGGCGTCTCGCCCCTTGGGAGCCCCCCCCGGCCGCCCTCCCGCGCAGCCGAGCGAGAGGGCCACAGGCCTACACACGGTTCATGTCTAGTTCTTCGAAAGTTCTTTTTTTGGGGAGGGGGGGGGGGCCAGGGCCGTTTCATTTCCAGCTGTTCTATCCTGGGCCTCTTCCTGGCCACTGGGGGGCCAGGAACAATTAGGAAAGAGCACAATTAGAAATGAACGACGTGTACTGCACCTCGAGGCGCCGCTTCTGCGCCCTGTGCGGGCCGACGCCGATGCCGCGCCGCTGGACCCCTCGAGGCCCCTGGAGGCCCCCAGAGCGAGGCCCGGACCCCCTCGAGCCATGGCAGAAAGCACGACGGGAGGCTTTTCGCTGTGTTCGGCCTCCGGAGGGCCTCGCGGGGCCTCGGGACCGTCAAGCGTCGGCTTAGGATGGAGAGTTTCTCGGAGCTCCTTCAGGTGATCGCAAACACGGGTCAATGGAGCGTAGATTAGCGACGGGTCCCGTTTCCATGGGAAATCGCGAATTTCTGCCGCCGAACGAGGCGGCACCGCCCACATTTTGGGGAGGCCGCCTCCCCCGATCCTTGGATTTGGCGACCGCGCGCCATATTCACGGGTCGCTACTCCATGTTTGCGCGCTCCCGATTCTTGCCCTCTCAGAAGTCCGAGGTTTTGAACAAGTTGCAGCGGTCTTTGTCCGTTTTCGGTTTCAGGGGGTCCTAAACAAGCCAGCGGCACCGTCAAGCAACGAGCGTTGCTTGACTTAAGTCGGGCATGTCCGTCTACAGGAGGAATATTCAAACATTGTCAAAAGTTAGTCAGGGGACCTATTTGTTCTTACTATTTTTGATTATTTTTGAATATGTTCGGGTTATTCTTGATTGTTCTTCCAAAATCCGCCTGTAGGAGAACATGCCCGAACTAATGCTTGACGTCCTCAGTCGACTCAGGAAGAAAAGCTGCCCAGGCAGGTGGTCCAGAGCTCTGGGGGCCCACAGAACCTCTATTGGCGGCAAGATGTCCGGGCTCTTCAGGAGGCAACTTCTGGGAGGCCTTGCCTTGAGATCCTCGCGGGCGCAAAACATATCCGTATCCGCGGCCTCGCGGACCGGGCCCCTGGGCCGCGACCCCGCGGCTACGGGGCGTCTTTTCGCTGATGGCCCGCCTGGAACATCCGTGCGACCGCGTATCCGCGGGATCGCGCCCCGAAATCTAGATCGCGAGGGCGCGGATATTTGTTGCAGGATATCCGACCCCGAACCAAACCTCCAGGTCGGTCTTGGAGGTCGCCGCAGCGGTCGCGGCTGGAACAAATGGGGGTACAGTTTTTGTCAAGGAATGCCTACCAGACGCGGCTCGTAATTAACAGTATGGCGCTGGAAAGTTGCCAATGCATGTCCAACATGTGAAACCATGTTTTCTCCATATCCTCAGGATTGGGTTCTTGTTGTTACTTAGGCCCTGCGGGACGAACATAGGACCCTCACACCTTCAGGTCATTTCTCCCCATATCCTAAGGGTGGGTTGCTTGTTTTTTTATTTAGGCAGCGCTGAATGAATACGGGAACGCAGGAACGTACTCATACTCAGATGCACTCGCTCTCAGGTTCTGGTTATTCTCCATATCCAGGTGACGGGGCTCTTGTTATTAATCCGACCGGGCCGACTCCTTTCCACTCACACCTCTTTCCTTCTCGTCCTCTTCCTCCTCACCCAGAGTCGCACTCTGGGTCAACACGTAGGTTATGTTATAATGATGATGAATATGATGCTGCTGATGATGATGGCACTGTTGATGCTGACGATGATGATGGTGGTGATGATGCTGATGATGACAGGATGGTGCTGTTGATGATGATGACACTAGCGATGATGATGGTGATGATGATGGTGATGATGCTGATACTGGTGATGATGACGATGATGATAATTGCGGTGATGATGAAGATGATGATGATGATGATGATGACGATCATGCTGTTATTGTTGATGGTGATGACAACAATGATGATGATGACGATGATGCTGCTGATGATGATCATTATGCTAATGGGTGCTGCGATGCTGATAATGATGATGATGCTGATGATGATGATGATGATAATGATGATGATGATGGAGCTGATGCTGATGATGACCATTGGAATCATAATCGTGACTTGTAATGATGCTGATGGTGATGACGATGATGTGTGAGTATGATGGTGGCGATGGTGATGATGGTGATGATGGTGATGTTGATGGTGACGGAGCAGATTCTGAGGATGTCTCGTGCGAGGCGCTCGCCTCAGCACCCCCAAGGGGGATCCGCCATGGCTACTGCACTCCTCCGTTCGCGCCAAAATGGCGGGGACCTCTCGAGCGGTTTGCTTGTTTGCATGTGCCACATCGTCCGCTTTCGGAGCAGATGAGTTGAGGATATCTCGGGCGAGGCGCTGGTTTTCGCACCCCAGGGGGGCCAGACTTTGGGGATGCCTCGAGCGGTTTGCTTGTTTTGCTGTCATATTCAGATGCACTCGCTTTCATATTACTGATACTCAGAGTTCTCATGCTCGGGATCACTCATATGCAGACTCACTCTCACTCCGAGTCGCATTCGCACCATTTCTCACACTCAGGAATAAGCTCGTATTCAGATTCACTTACAAATCGGCGCATTCAGTACCAGAGCAACGAAGCTCGCGCCAGGAGCCTCAGATTCGCTCTCAGCTCAAATTGAATTGCAATCGGATGTGCGAGGATGTCTCAGGCGAGGCGCTGGCTTCAGTTTCCCAAAGAGTGCGCCCAGGGGTACTGCACGGGCCCGCTCGCGCCCAGATTGCGGGGATGTCTCGAGCGGTTTGCCTGTTTACGTGCCCAACTTCCTCCGCTTTCGCAGCAGATTTGAGCATGTCTCGAGCGAGGCGCTGGTTTTAGTAACCCCAGGGGCGGGCGCGAAGGGGCATTGCACCGGCCCGCTCGCGCCCAGACTGCGGGGATGTTTCAACCTCAGCGTTAGGAGCAGATCATGAGAATTTCTCGAGCGAGGCGCTGGTTCTCGAACCCCCAAGGGGGGACGTGAAGGGGTATTGCACGGGCCCGCTCGCGCCCAGACTGCGGGGATGTCTCGAGCGGTTTGCCTGTTTACGTGCCCAACATCCTCCGCTTTCGCAGCAGATTTGTGTATGTCTCGAGCGAGGTACTCTTTTTCGCACCCCCAGGGGGGGACGCGAAGGGGTATCGCACGGGCCCGCTCGCGCACAGACTGCGGAGACGTCTCAAGCGATTTGCCTGCTTGCGTGCTCAACATCCTCCGCTTTCGAAGCCGATTCCGAGGATGTCTCGAGCGAGGCGCTGATCTTCGCACCCCAAAGGGGGGGGCCCGAAGGGGTATTGCACGGGCCCGCTCGCGCCCAGAATGCGCGAATGTCTCGAGTGATTTGCCTGCCTGCGTGCTCAACATCTTCCGCTTTCGAAGCCGATTCCGAGGATGTCTCGGGCGAGGGAAGCGCTGGTTTTTGCATTCCTGGGGGCCCAGATTGCGGGGATGTCTCGAGCGGTTTGCCCGTTTTGCTGGCCAGACTCGTTTGCTCTAAGGGCAGATTCTGAGGATGTCTCAGGTTAGGCGCCGGATTTCGCACCCCAGGGGGCTCATATTTCGTGGATGTCTCAGGCTCGCTTATTCTCAAACTCATTCGTGCTCAGTCACGCTCGTACTCAGACTCATATTCATCATACTCATACGCAGGCTCACTCACACTCATAGTTACGCACGTTCAGACGCACTCACACTTAGACCCACCCAGCCTCAGACTCACTCGTAGTCAAGCCCACTCGTTCTCAGACCCATTCAGACGCAGACTCACACTCATCATAGTCATACTCAGGCTCGTTGACATTCAGATTTCCTCACACTCCGAACCACTCACACTTAGGCCCACCCACCCTCAGATCCACTCGTAGTCAGACTCACTCTTACTCAGACCCAGTCAGACTCAGACTCGTGCTCATTATAGGCATACTCAGACCCACTTGCGCCAAGACTTCCCACACTCAGACGCGCTCTCACTCAGACTCATTCGTATCCTGACTAACGCATTCTCAGACCCACTCGCAGTCAGACTCTCTCTCTCTCTCATATATGTATACATACTCTAACTGATACGCACACTCAACCATACGAAAACCCGTTTCTACCTCAAGCCCGTTTCTATTCGAAGATCCGCCGCCACTCTGGCTCATGCCTCCAGCGCCCCACCCCCGCGGCGCGCCCCGGCCGCGGCCCGCGGACCGCGAGCCGTGTGCCAGCGCCGCGGAGGCTCCGCGAGGGCTGCCGCGGCGAGTCTCCTCGGCCGAAGCGGCGCGGCCCTGTCGGCCGATGCCCCCGGTTGGCCTGCGTGGCGCGGCGCTGGCGGCGTGGCTGCTCGTGCCGCCGGCGCGATGCGCGGGCCCCGAGGAGGTCTCGTCCCCCGACTCCCTCATGACATCGTTGAAGACTAACCCTACCCTCGTTTATAACCACCCCGACTATGACAGCAGCGGCATCACGACAGTGAAGATCGGACTACGAGTCAAACATCTGTTCGACGTGAGCTCCAAGACCATGACGTACAGGTTGACAGGTTTATTGCAGGAGAAATGGCAAGATAACCGTTTGATATTCGACAACTCTACTACGCTGGACTTCGATCACCTCGAGTGGCGCGACGGAGATATTTGGACGCCCACGACATACTTCCAGGATGCTGTAGAGACTTCCACTAGCCTGCAGTTTCTGCAATCTACGTCGACAGGCGAGGTCAGGCTCGAGCGCTTGGTGCACCTGCACATGTTCTGTCCCATGACATTCCAGCACTACCCTTTCGACAAGCAGATTTGCGACATGCGGACCATGCCCCTCAAGGCAGGAGCAACGTCTGTCAGGCTGGAGTTCTTAAAACCTGCAATCACAGGCCTTCAGAATTTAGAGCTTGGAGAATGGACGAACTTCAGGACAGAACTCTCGGCGGGCGTCACAGACAAACTGTTGTTCGATAGAGATGTTCAGTGGCCATACGCCCAGTTCACTTTCGAGATGGAAAGGATCGCGTCGAGTTCTGTGATCACCTCTATCCTGCCCAGTGCGCTTATAACGATTATGTCCTACAGCGGGTATTGGATCAATGCCGCCGCGGCGCCTGGTCGCATCGCCTTGGCGATCATTTGCGTGTTAGCCACAGTCTCTCACCGTTTCAGCGTGCTGGCGCAGCTCCCGATCGTCTCCTACCAAATCTGGATCGACAAGTACCTCACCGTCAACCTGATATTCACTTTTGTTGCTGTGGTCAGCTATGCCATTGTGAACTTCGGCCTGCAGCATCGGTCGGCAGAGCACCACCTGGCGCACCACGCCCAGTTCCTCGCCGAAGTGGAGGCGAGGAAAAAGCACGACCTGGAGTCGCCCCCAGACAGGGAGGTCGACGGGCAGGTTTTAGGACAGCCGTCTCTGGAGCGGGAAGACTCGAACTTCAAGGAGGAGCCTGGAGAGGACGGGGGCGACCCTGACGCGCAGAGCCAGTCGGAAACGTCGGGGCCCAGCACGCCCAGGGATGCGCCGAAGAGGACGTGCTCGCAGAGGAGCTCGCAGAGGCCGACCGCGGCCGCGGCGGACCCGGTGGGCTGCGAGGCGGCGGAGGGCGCGCAGGGCGGGAAGCCCAGGGAGCCGTTGTGGCGCGGGCTGTCCCAGCCCAAGTTGTCACACTTGTGCTACCTGGACCACGTGATGCGCGTGTGCGTTCCGATCGTTTACGTCATGATCAACATCGTGCTGTTCACGAGCAAGTGAGGCGGCGGGCGTGGCTGCAGGGCGGCGCGGTGTGCGTCATGGCCCCTTCTGTGCGGTCGCGGCCGTTCTTGTTTCACCTTCCCTTCCACTTCTTCTGTTCTCCCTGCCCTCCGACCCGCGGCCAGGAAAAGCGGCAGGGATCGGCCGCACGGGCGCCCCGTCAGCGGGACGGCGGGGGTGTCGGATCCGACGCGTCTGGCAGCGGCTGGTGCAGGGGCGAACCGACGCCAGCGGTGGATATCATATTGTGTGTGCGTGCATGCTCACGCCGCACTGCGGTCTGGCTGTGTCGGTTCCACGTCGAACAGACGTGCCGTTTCGCCTTCGCAGCGTGGCGCGCAGGTCATACATTAGCCGCGTGTCTACCTCGATCGCATGTTTTCCGTGTGCGCACATATATTTGTGCTAGTGCGGTTTTTTCAGCTAGCCTCCGCCTCGTACCATTTCTCGTCGCCGAGGATCGTGGCTCCACCCGCGCGCACTCGCCAGAAGGCGATTGTGCGCGTGTACTTTTGCTGGCCCTCCCCCGTCAGAGCTGTACGAGCACTGTCCGTAGGGATGGGCACGACATATTAGGAGCAGAACAATGCGGGCGATAACCCTTCGCCCCCTTCCCCAAGAAAAAAACGCTTCCATCCGACAAGCGTTTCGCCTAGACACTCACGGTGGACAGGTCCATGCAAGTAGATGCACATATGGGGAGCTCCACGCAGTGAACCATTTTTCTGTTTGGGGTCGAGTACCACGCAACCAGATACGAACCTGTTGGCCGCTCGTGCCTGAGATCCTGTTGCGTCGCAGGTCTTCCCACAACGCGCGATCTTGCCCTGCTTCGGGCCCTACCGCTCGTTACCCGGGCCAACCCCCCCCTCCCCCCCCTGGGGGGGGGATGGTTTGGTCCCCCCCCCCTTACGTGCTGTTGTGCACGCAGGCGATTGATGCGCCGGTGGCGCGGGCGCACCCTGGCGGGTGCATGCCGCGGCCGCCGTGTCCGTTCGGGGCTACGTTATGGGGAGGAGGCTGAGTCGTGCGCCGGCGTGTCTTCTGAAGGGTCGGACTGACTGCAGACATCGGCATCCTGGTCCGATGCTTGTGGCTCCGATGTCCCAGAGATCTGAGTAGCAGCCAGCTGCTTTCGGCTGGCCTCCGCCTGTGCGTGCTCCCATCCGCGGCCTCGGAGGTCTCGAGATCCGTTTCTGGCGGTCTCCCGGACCCGAGAAGGGGGCCCGGAGGCCGAACACCAGATGGGTAAGACGCCGGACTGACAATACCGGATCGTCGGAGACGTGGGTGTCCTCATGTGGCGGAGCGTCTTGGCTAATTAGCCTATACGCCCGTTGTTGCGCGGAATGGTTGCGCGAAATGCCCTTAGAACATTTCTGGCTGAGACCGCCTTTGTTTCATACATCGGCCAATTCTGTTCTGAGAGCCGTTTTGGGGTTCTCAGAACTTTCTTTGGCTTTGAGAGAATGTCGCGGTGGACCTACAGAAATGCCGGGACGGTCGGTCCCTGCTCGGTGTCCTGGCGTCGCAGGCCCCCCCCCCACAGCGGGCGACCCTGCGCTCCCTGCTCTGCGGGCCCCCCCGCGGCAGGCTGCTGCGGCCGCCCGGGCCGGAGCCCCGCGGCGAGGGCGGCTGCCCTGCGGGCAGCTTCCCGAAGCAGGCCCGCCGGCGCCGGGGGAGCGCCGACCCCCTCGTGGTCGCGGCCCTGCCCGGGAGAGGAGAAGCGACTCTCAGAGGAGGGAGAGGTGCCAATCACGCTACCTTTCCCTCGTGTTCCCTCTTTAGGGCCTCCTCGGAGGCCCTCGTCGCCACCGCCGGATGTGCCTCGAAATTTCGGTCAGAACGCACCCCGGGAGAGGGCTGGGAAGTAGTAGCGGTATTGGTACCTCTTGGCTTCCCCAGGTTCCCTCGATTCGATTCGACGCGATCTCGACGGCTTCAGCTTCCGATTCGCCTCGGCTGCGCTCTGGCGTGGGCTCCGATTCCTCCAGGAGGCCTTGCCAGCGTGCCGATTTCTCCGCCGATTCGGCTTCTTCCGACACGGCTGCCGACTTCCGCCGACCCGATGAATTTCGATAGCCGATTCGGTTAATCGATTCGATTCTGGGCTCCCTTGCCCTGACGACTCCGGGGGCGCGCTGGCGTCGCGAAGAAAAGTACGGCGGGGGATGTTTCCGTCGGCGGCGAAAGCCGAACCCTACCCTCGCCGGTCAACGATTCGGGTAACTCGATGGGCGGCGGGGGGCAGGGCTCGAATTCGTCGAGCACGCGGCGAAATCCGAACCCTACCCCGCCACCCATCGACCAGGAGAATGGATGGTTGATGGGGATAGGGTTCGGATGTCGCCACCTGCTTTGGCCGCTTTCGGCCTCTCGTCCCCAGGGCCGTCAAAAGTGGACTCGGGATGAAACGCTTCGACTACACGTCAGAGACCCTTCGCTGGAGTAACCGTCGGTGCGGGCTCACTGGTGTCCCCCGATCGCTGAACGCGACGCGGTAGCAGCGGCCTGCGCGCTTGGGTTTGGCCCTCGCGTCCCCCAAAGCCGGTCACCAAATGCAACTCTTGCCTAGGGTCAAACATGCGTGCAGCCGAGCGCTGGCCTCACGAAGGGTCGCGACTTCTGTGGGTGCCATGCACCTGTGAACATCCGAGGAGGAACATATGCCGATACCCCTGCTCGTCCTGGAGATGCCTCGTCCACGCTGCTGGGTTCTCGTAGAACTTCTGGTCAGATCGCATTTCGAGAGAGGTCTGGGGAGTAGCAGTATCGGTACTTTGGCTCTCGTTTTCCCCATAGTTTTCCCGCAGCAGTACCGCTACGTGTCCCTCGTTTTCCTCCTTTTGGGCCTCCTCGGAGGCCCTCGTCGCCACCGCTGGATTCGCCTCGAAATCCTGGTCAGAACGAACCCAGGGAGAGTGCTGGGGAGCAGCGGTATCGGTACCTCTGGGTTTCCCCAGAACAAGTCCGGGCATTTGCATGCCTGTGGGTGCGACGCCCCCCTCGGGCGCGGCCATGCCCCAGAACTCAAGCTTCGCCTCTTCCCGGAGGAGGAAGGAGGAGGAGGAGGAGGAGGAGGAGGAGGAGGAGGAGGAGGAGGAGGAGGAGGAGGAGGAGGAGGAGGAGGAGGAGGAGGAGGAGGAGGAGGAGGAGGGAGGAGGAGGAGGAGGAGGAGGAGGAGGAGGAGGAGGAGGAGGAGGAGGAGGAGGAGGAGGAGGGAGAGCACAAGACGGCACGAGCGGCATCCCTCGGAGGTTAGCCAACGATGCATCCGCACCGATCTTGGCCCAGGCCCGTCCTGGGCCCAGGACCGGTGTATCCGCCCCCCTGCCCTGGCCAGGAGAGCGTGTATTCTCCGAGTTGGGTCCCAGGATTGGCCAGGCCAGGACTGGTGTGAGTTTGCGGGCGACCCGGAACTGTGCACCGTACCGCGTTGGCGTCTCCTGAGGCGTCGTCGATCTACGACCCAGGAGTAGCACGCTGAATAGTTTGTTTGGCCTCCAGAGCCGAACAAGGATACACCTTACATCGCTGGAGCGACGCCTTAAGGAAGTCCCATGGTATGGTTGGCGGCTCCCTGTGCTGCTCCTCTGACTACAGGGTTCCCCTGAGCTCTGCGCACTGCTCCCCTCCATCCCCCCCCCCTCCCCTGCCTGGACCTGATGGGCCAAGGACACTCGGAGCGTCCCGGAGCGTCCAGGAGCGTGTTTTTCCGGCTTGCGCTGTCAGGGCCCGCCCGTGCTGTCAGAGTCGCTTCGCGTGGGGCACCGTGCACCATGGCACTTGCTGACATATTCCTACGCAGTGCATTCCGTTTTACCTTCGGTTTACCTCGCCGTTCCGTAGACAGTCCGCCCGCGCTGGCATTTTGAAAGCCGTAGGTCCGCATTCATGTGACGTGTGGGTTTTTACGATGCTCCAGCGAAGCGCCTTGCCAGATACATTTCACCCTCCTCAGAATTGGGGGTTGGAGTCGACACTCCCACCGTTAAACAAGGAACTCTGGAGCGTCTCGACCCCCAATCCCCCACTCATGGCCGATACGGGGCTCGATAGCCCGCCCCCACCCCCAGGAACGTGCGGTTCCACTATAGGGGGCCCGTCGCCGACGTATCCGCGATGCATCGCCCAATCGAGCTCGATGCTTCCTCCGCTGAGCTGGCCCCGCCCTGTTATTCAGAGGAAAGGAAGAGCGACATCGCCACCAGCAGGGGCCCCACCTCCAGCTAGGAGGTCCACGGCGCCTTCCCGAGCTGGGGGCAGGGGATGCTCCGAGCGGGGAGAGGGGCGGCCACGCCACCAGGAGAGAAACCTCCCTGGCGGGTCACGCTGGTGCTGGTGGTGCCGCTTTTTGCCTTGCTCCTGCGGGGATGGCCGCAGGGGTTGCTGAGGGGACAGGGGGTGCAAGTGGATGCCAAGATGGGTCATATCTCTTGGTTGCTCAGGGGGGTTCGATAACTCCGCTAAGTGGGCGGAGCCCAGGTCGTTCGCCCTCATAAGGCACTTGGGGCACCTGCAACCCATTAATAAGTTTGGTTTGGCTGAATATAACCCATCTTCGCATCCGCTGGTAAGCCCCGCACCCTTCAGCAACCCCCGCGCCCATTCCAGTGGTCGCTGCCCATCCACTCCGGAGCGCCCTGGCCCACTCCTCGGGCAGAGCCCCCGCCAGGTGCGGCGCGCCCCGCGGTTCCGCATCTGCCTGCGGCACGGGCAGCTCGTGGACCGGCGGATACTGCGCTTCGGCAGCTGGGACGACTGCGACCTGCTGACGAGGCTGTCCCGCCGTTGGGGGCGCCCCGCGAGGGTGCTCGGAGGGAGCAGCCACGGCCGGCTGGCCACCTCCTGCGAGGAGATCCACTGATGCCTCTCTGAGCCCTCTCCTACCTGGCTCGCCTCGCAGTGTGCTCCGGCCGCGAATGGGGCTCGAGCAGCGCGGGTCAGAGCGACGCACCGCGTCCCCGATGCATCTGCGGTGAGGCGCGATCGGGACTACGACCTTCTCCGTCCCGACGTCGCCGGTGAATCGGCGGTGCATCGGCGATGCGGTGCGGTCCTGCGGCCGCGCTCGGGAGGCCTCCGATGCTCGTGCCGGTGCCGAGCTTCCCACGTCGCCCGCGGGGGCGCGAAAGCAACCGCGCTCCGTGCGTCTCGGCCTGGGCCAGGGAGCTGCCCTGCTCTTTCGCAGGAGCCCCGTGAGAAGGTGTCTCCTCTCCCGGTGGCCCCTGGGGGGGGAGCACTCGCAGGGGTACCCCAGGGCCTTCAAAGATCGACGGAGGTCTCCTCCCCAGATGCACCCTGGGGGGTTCCATTGGTGCACCAGGGCACCTCAGGACCTTCAAAGATCGACAAATAATGTGCCCCAAGGTTTCTTCTGGCAAGATCTCTTGCCGTATGTGGCTATTGTAGCCGCGCCTCGTGGGGCTCGATGCACGAAACCAGGTGGCCCAGATCTTCTCTGCTCCTATAGGTGCTGGAGGTCGGCGCGTACAATGGCATATGCGCCCTCGGCTTCGCCGCGGCTGGGGCCGAGGTGGTGGCGGTCGAGGCGCACCCGGAGAGCGCCGCCCTGGTTTCCGGAAGAGGGAAAGGTACCGATATTGCTACCCTCCCATCGCTTTCGCTGCTGGTGGGGCCTCCTACAAGTCTGCTCGCAATTGACGCGACGCCGCCGGGTGGCTTTCACAGTCGTCATCGTTGAACTGCCTCTGCAAAGTTGAGGGGCGTGTTCGGCACTCTTTGTGGAGCGGCCCCTTCAGAGTTGGCGGGCGCTCTGGGCTCTTGGCTTAAGGCGGGCCTGTCCCTTCACAGGGGGCATATTCAAAAATAGGTGAAAAGATTAGTCAGGGGAGTATTTTTTTTTTGCCCTTTGGGGGCATTTCTGGACTATTTTTAATTTTTCGTCCAAAGCCCCCCTGTAGGAGGACAGGCCCGACTTAACTCTTGGCTGGACGCCCCCGCGCCCGTGCACCCCGAGGCGCTGGCCTCGACTCTCGAGGGTGGGGGCAGGCTCCCCGCGGCGCGGCTCCGGCCCTGCCGTGCCAATTGTGGCCAGGTGTGCGGGAGGTCCTCGGCCCCCACGGCCGGAGTCGCCTCGGCCCCCTGGCCAGAGCGCACCTCGGGAGAGGTCCGTGGAGCAGCAGGCAGGGTCAGTTTGCGGAGCCTCGGCAGGCGGTGGATGAGGACAGATTCGGGCCCTGAGGGGCCGAAATGTCCATGCCCACCGCCCGCTGGGGCACCAGGACGTCGGTTTCCAGGCGGTGGATATGGATAAATCCCCGCCTCGCAGCAGCTGCGTCGCTGAGCGCCCGTTGGCGGCCCCAGGTGCGGGCGTCCGCGGCCCTCAACGGCTTCCACAGCCTCCGGGTCGTCCACTCCGCGGTCGGGGCTCCCGGTTGGGCCAGGCAGTCGGTGACGCGCACAAGCTGGACGCAGTGAATCACGGGCGCTTCCGCTCGTCTTGGATTGAGCGCAGATCGGCGGACAGTGCCCGATAGCGCTCCGTAGCGCCAGATATGCCAAATAGAGCCCAGCAGCGCTCAGGAGCGCCGACTGGCGTTCCATCAGCGCCCAGTGGCGACCAATGGCGCCCAGCAGCGCCATGTGGGGGGCACGCATTCTGTCCGCTCTGCGCCATGGGGACGACCAGAAGCTTCCGTGCATTTGTTTCTGTCACAAGAGGGGGGGTCGGGCGACGACCACGGGCCCTCCGACGGTGTGGTGACCACACCGTGCGGTGGGCCTGTTGGTGTGCGGAGTCGCTACGCGGTTTTGGGACTCGGGTTGCTTCGGACAGGGCCAGGCCGAGGATGAATCCGTTCCAGGGCGTTCTGGCACGCTCTCAGAGCGTTCCAGGACGCTCTGAGAAGGCCGCGGCGCCCGATACGCCTTGTAGAGCCACAGGATCTCAAAGATCTTCGATTTGTCCTCATCTGGATTAGTCCTCGTCTTGATTTCGTCTTAGTGTTATCCGAGGACTTCAAGGGCGATCGCCCAAAACCGTGCGGTGACGGACCGTTCGGTGGGGTCTCTTAAGATTCCGAGGTCACCGCACGGTCCGTCACCACACGTTTCCGGGTCCCCTAAGAGGATCGAGCATCCAGCACAGATGCTGGACTTTCTGTCTCTCCGCGGGCGCCCCCGTCGTCGCGGCCGGACGCAGTCGGAAACATGTTCCAGGATTGGCCTGCGGAGGGGTTCGCGGGTCCGTTTTGAGCGGATTTGGGTCGGGGGGTGGCGCGAGGGGGGCGGCCTCAAGGCGGGGGAATTTCCAAGAGGGCAGTGGGCTTCTGCCAGGTCCTCCTGGCTTCCGAGGGCTTCTGAAGGCCTGGCAGCCTTCGGGGAAGCCCCCCCGCCGTCTGGGAAACCCGCCCCCCCCCCGCGCCACCTCCTGGCCCACACCCGTTCACAGCGGGCCCCCTTCCAGGGTCCAACCTGGCAGGTTTTCCCGGCATACGAATGGAAATCAATATCGCAGTAGTCGTAGCCCAACAGTAGCAGTACGGGTGCTCAGAATAAGCATCATGATAGTACGAGGGAGAATCGTATTAACACTACCGGTATACATAGTACGAATAGTAACGAATAAGAGTAACACTGACCAATGAAACAAAAACATTAATAACAACAGTACTAATCATGATTACGGGTGAGAACTAGTTCAACAGAGCTAGTAGCAATCGTACTAATATTCATACGTTCGATCCGCGGCCCCAGAGATCCCGACCATTTCCCCAAGGTAGGTAGTGTTGCATCTCGGATCCGTTTGCGTTGGCCTCGACAGCTGCCCTCAGAGGCCGAGATCGAGGAACAACGCTGGGGTGGACAAAAAACACGTCGTCAGAGGGGCTCTGGGTTCCCATCGCGTCAGCTTATGATTAACAGATCCGTGGGGGGCGCGTGTTTTAAAACATCGTTTCCCTGCTCGGGCGAATCGCGGGGCGGCGCCCGCCAGATTGAAAATCAAAGGCGGCGGCGCCGGTGATTAGCGCCGACGCCCAGCCGCCAGCGGGAAGGCGATAGACAGCACAGACTGGGTGAGGGGTGGGGGGCGGGAGGCAGTTGCGGCAGAAGCAGGGACCGTGAGCCGGGGCGACACCTGTTCGAAATGAAGAAGAGCTGCTGTCGGCGCTCGCCCCCGCACTTTCCGTGTTTTCTGTCGAACCGATGCGTTTTTTTCGCCCTGGCCGCAGCCAGGGGTGCGCCAGCTGCCTCGCGGGCCCGCGAGCAAGGCGGGCTGGACGAAAGGGGGCTTGCCGAGCAGCTCACATTGCTGATTTTCCGAGCGCCCCATGGCGCCGAAAGCGGCCATGCATCGCGGCGCGACCGAAACCAGCTGCGCGCAGCAGGTTTCGCAACCCCCTCTTTCCTTCCCCGGCCTTTCGTCCGACCCGAGCAGGGCGGGCAGTCCTCCTACCCCCCCCCATCTGCCGTGGTCTCTGTAAGGTCGTCGACGACGCCGCCGACGACGACGACGACGAGGACGAAGACGAGGACGAGGACGAGGGCGAGAACGAGGAGGACGAGGAGGATTAGGACGAGGACGACGGACGGCGGACGGCAGACGGCGACGGCGGCGACGACGACGACGCACTGCGACGGATGCCCTAAGGGGGGGGTGCTGCGCAGGCCCGCTGTAGCCGTTGCTGCGGATGCCCTATGGGGGGGGACGAGGACGAGGACGAGGACTACGGACGGCAGACGACGACGACGAAAACGACGACCACGACAACGACAACGAGTACGAAGACGAGGACGAGGACGGCGGCATTGACGACGACGACGACGACGACGACGACGACGACGACGACGACGACAACGCGACGACGACGACGACGCACCGCGGATGCCCTATGGGGGGGACGACGACGACGACGACGACGACGACGACGACGACGACGACGACGACGACGACGACTACGACGACGACGACTGCGACGACGACGACGACGACGACGATGACGACGGCAGCGGCGGTGACAACGACGACGACGACGCATGAGGGGGAGAAAGAATTCGGAAGTCGCTTCGGATGTGTACGACTTCTACAACCACTTCTGTACGAAAAGCATTCGTTTTGAGGCTGTCATGCAGGGAGGTACATGATCCTTTCGGCGGCGCCAGCGACGACTCCATGGCGCGCGTGATTGGAAAAATAAATGTTCCGCGCCGCGGGGTGTCTAAGTCATCAGCCCTGGTGGGGTGTCTGGTCATTCGATAATCAAGAGCCGACATTGCACTCCGGGATAGTTCTGGGAGCTCTGAAGGTTTCAAATTTGAAGCTGGCAGCGCAGGGTGGCCCGGCAGGTCTTCCTGGCGCCGCTCCAGAATCCCCGCAGCGCCCAAATTGAACTGGCAACGTGTTCCGGCAAGCGTTTTCCTACTCGTTCCCAATACGCGTGGCGGGAGCCCTTTCCGCAGTTCCTGCGAAGCTCCTTGGGGGCTCGTGCGAATCTCCTTTCTCGAGCTTGCAAGCTCCCCAGACATCCTCTCAAGCGTTCATACAGGCGTCTCCCACAGGTTTATCACGCGCTGTGGACTGCGTAGCTATCTGGCTTGTGGACACCACGCGTCCTGCGCATCAATTTTTCGATGCATGGACTGGGTGCATGCGTGCGCGCCGCCAACCCAAACATCCGGTGTCTTCATTTTTGCGGGAATGCGGGCCCGCGGCGTCTCGGCCACTTCTCCCTGACTGGCTCTTCATCCGCAGTGCTTTCGCTGACGGTCCCGAGGCCGGGTGAGGATCCCCAGAGGCCGAACTCTGAAGCAAATCTGTTTCGAATTCTTCGAGACGGCGGATGTCTGGACACAGGCTGGTCGAGTTCGGCGGCAACGCAGCCGGCTCTGGGCTCCGCGGGGGAGGCGGCGGCAGCGCCCGCACGGCCGAGCCAGCCGAGGCCCTCGCGCGCCTGGGCGTGCGGGCGGGGCCCCGCGAGGCCTGGCTGCTCGGGCGGCTGCGGGAGGCCCGGCGGAGTTTCAGGACGCGGGCGGACGCGGGAAGGCCTCTCTCGTGAGGGTGTGTTCGGGGTCTATTCGGGCAGTGGCGAGGCGTCCTGGCTTGCCGCATGCCTATAGGCCCACCAGAGAATGTTCTGAGAGCGGTCTTTGGTCTGCACGGCACACTCTTGGAGCATTTCTGGCCGCGGCCGTCTTGCTTTAAGCAGTCGGGCTTCTGTTCTAGGAACATGGTTTCTGTTCATGTCGTGGTAGGCGTATAGGAATGCCGGGTCGGTCGGTCCCTGCTCAATGATCGGAGTCTACGGTCTCGCATTTTTGAATAGCAGTCCGCTCCGCCAGTTCTGGCACGGCGCGCCTTGGTGCGACACGCTATCCACTTCACGGTCCCGAGAAGTCAGCGTCCCGAGCTTTCCCGGGCCTTGCGTCCCGCGGAGAGGAGCGACACGCTATCCGTTTGCAACGCGTAGCGTGTCGCCAGGGCCGCCAGGGCGACACGTTATGCAAAAGTTCCTGACCGTAGGCCTCCCAAGTGAGGCATATCTGGAAGGACGCGGACGTTGGCGGAAGTACGACGAGGGCGCCCGCGGAAGCTCGGCGGAAGCGACGGGAGTAAAAGCTGCCCTCCCAAGAGATGGCAACATGTTCTGGTTTCAGGGTTCTGGGGGCCCGCCAAATGGGGTCCGAGCACATGGGGTCGAAGGATCGTGCCGCATCGAGGGAAGGCTCAATGTGGAGTCTGATTTTCTTCCACGCCGTCGGCGCCGAAGAATCGTCGATGTCACCGATGCGTAGCAAATGCATCGTCGCTGCGGCGCGATCCCATTTACTCGAACCTCATCTCGGAGGACTCTAGCTCGGAGGGAGCCAAGCCGACACTACTGCCACCAGCGGGCCACCTCCTGCGAGGAGGTCCGCGGAGGCCTCTCTCGAGCTGTAGTTTTGGGCCATGCCTCGGGGCGCCGCTAGGGACAGCGGGCCGGCACTACCGACAGGGCCCTCTCCCTGGCTCGCCTCGCGATGGCTCGAGGCCTCCAAATGGGCCCGCGTGGCCAGGGTCAGAGAGTCGCACACCGCATCCCCGATGCATCGGCGATGCGGCTCGATCGGGAGTCCGATCTTCTCCGTCCCGACGTCGCCGGTGCATCGCCGGATCATCGCCGGTGCATCGGCGACGCATCGGCGACGCATCGGCGATGCATCGGCGATGCGGGGCGATCCTTCGAAAACAAGCATAAGCATAAACTTTTGGCGCTCCGCGCGTATTTATTGGATCCGCGCTGGGCCCCCCACCCGGCGGCTCCTCTGGCGCCGTCCCTGGCACGCGCCAGGGAGGGGGTCCAGCGCAGATCCAAGAACTCCGCGCGGAGCGCCAAAAGTTTATGTTTGTGTTTTTTTGTTTTGTCTCTCTAATCCACCGACCCGTGTGGGAGGCGATGCATCTGCGGTGCGCTGCGATCCTCCGACCCGTGTGGGAGGCCTCCGGGGGTAGTGTCGGTGGCGATCTTCCTGGGTCGCGCTGGGGGGGTGCGAAGACAGCCGCGCTGCGCGCGTCGTAGCCGGGCCGGGGGGCTGCCCTTCTCCGAGGTGGCCTCGCGCGAGCGCGAGAGTGCAGCAGGCCCGTCGAAGAAGAGCTCGGCCTGCCAGCAGGTGCCCCGCGGAAGTTCTTGATCCCCCCATGGCCCAGGGCTGCTCCAGGGGAGTCTCCTTCGCGTGTGTTGTTGCTGATGTTTCGTGCTTTCGTTCTTTGCAGTGGGCAGGCACGCATATTTCAAATCATTGAGGTCAATTCGACCTTTTCATGTCCCTGCTCCCCCTCAAGATACACCAAACGAAAAGTACAAGTTTAGGAAAGTTGGAAAACATTGAATTCTGGTGTTGGGCATGATGGGAACGCCGCGCGCTGAGCGCGCAGGTCAGCAGCGCAAGGTAGAATATGAAGCATGAACGCCCATCGTTAAAGCTATTGCCTGAAACGTCAACGCGGACCCTGCTTTGTCAGCAGGAGCGCTCTGCCGTGTAATGTATTACACGAAGCTTCAGCGACGAGCCAGAAGCCCGAAACCCAGAAGGTGCTGCGCGAATCCTGCACTCTCACGGAGAACGCCGAATCACTTCATAGTAGAACGTGTACACTGAAAGCATAAACCTTAACCTTGTACCGAGAACTCTGCGCTCCCAGCGTAGACGAGGAAACCAGAACCGTGTACAGCGAGTCCTTGACTCAGAACTTGCGCATATAATCCTGACCCGCGCACCCCCGAACCAGAACAGTGAGCTGAACACTAACATCGAATCCGTGCGATATTTGAACTCTCAGCGTGACCGCTACAACCAAAACCGTTGTTGGAAAAACAACTTTGAGAACGCAGCCGGCGGGGAACGGAGAGGGAGTTCGAAACCGAGTCTCTGAAGGTAGACGCGGGCGGAGCTCGGAGCAAAGGCAGCTGGAAAGCCGCGGACTTAGGACGAAGCCGAGACAGCTGGAAAGAGTGTTTCTTGAGGCAGCCGCAGGCGGAGGGCGAAGCCAATGCAGTGTGAACAACGGAAGATCAGGGAGAGCTGGAGGCTCAAAACAAAATACAAAATCTGGAAGTCAGGGCGGGCTGAGGGTCAACAGCGAAAATTCGGAAAGCCGTGGCGGACCGGATGCTCAAGAGCACTGGAGGTCCAGGCGGGCTGAGGCTACCAATGTTAGCACAATGGAAATCAGGGTGGACTGAGGCTCAAAAGCGCCACTGGGCGGGAGGTTCAAAAGCAGTAACCTGGGCGGGAGGCTCAAGAGCACCAACTCTGGAAGGTCGGAGCGGGTAGAAGCCAGGTGCGCCGACGGCTGAAGAACGCAGGGTATTTGGAAGTCTGTGTGGGCCAAAGCTCGAGAACACCAAATCTGGAAGTCAGGGCGGGGTGAAGCTCAAAAGGACCAAATCTGACAGTCAGGTCGGACCTAGGAAGGGGAAAGCAGGAACTCTAGAAGTGTGGAAGGCAGGGCGGACTCGGAACCGCAGGGATTCAGGAAGAGTCAGGGTGGGCTGTCAGCCTGAGGAAGGAAGGAACTCAGAAGCCAGAGCGGACTAGGAAAAGCACGAACTCTGGAAAGTCTGAGTGGTGGACTGAGGAGGATCAACTGAGGAGACCACCGGACTAGAGGAGACAACAGGACGAGAGGGCAGGAACTCTGGAAGTCAGGGTGGGCTGAGGAAAACAGGATCTCGGGGAGCCAGAACTCTGGAAGCCAGCGGGGCTGAGGAAAGCAGGAACTCAGGAAGTCAGGGCGGGCTCAGGAAAGGAGGAAATCAGGGTGGGCTTAGACAAGAATACACTCAGGAAGTCAGGGTGGGCTGAGGCAAGCGAAAGCAGGAATTCGGGAAATCAGGGCGAGCTGGGTAAAGAAAGAACTAGGGAGGTCAGGCCGGGAATGCGGAACGCAGGAACTCGGGAAGAGGCAGGGTCGGCTGAGGAAAGCAGGATCTCGGGAAGCCAGGGCGGATTAGGAAAAGCACGAACTCAGGAAAGTCAGGGGTGTAATGAGAAGGATCACAGGACCAGAGGAGACCCAAGGGGGAGAGAGCAGGAACCCAGGAAGCCAGGGCGGGCTGGTGAAAGCACCAAATCTTCAGTGCGGGTTGAAGAAGGGAGGAATTTATGAAGCTAGGGCAAGCTGAGAAAAGCCAGAACTCGGGAAATCAGGGCGGGCAGATGAACACAAGATTTGGGAATCCAGGGTGGGCTGGGGAAAGAAATCCATCTGGAAGCCAGGGCGGGCTTAGGAAAGCAGGAGCTCAGGAAGTCAGGTGGGCATAGTCGGCCGGGCAGCTTTGTCTCGAACATTAAATGGCGACAGGGAGATGCGTTTTCGAAGTCATCAACTAAGAACGTTGTAACATTGAAGCATCTACCCTTTGTCCTTCCTTTGGCAGAGGACCTGACTTCATGTCTTTCCTTGATGCAGGGAGTCCTGGACGCTCGGAAGAAGAGGTGTTTCCAGATGTCTGTTTTGATGCATGGCGAACGCGACGACAGCATGCCGTGCTTGGCAAGATTCCGCGGGAAAACAGACGGTGGCAACAAATGATTGCGTTCGCGCAGGCTGGGGGAGACTTTGCCGCCTCCCCAGGGGAGTGCACGCCGCGAGGCTCCATGAACAGGTCCGCGCGCTGCTGGTTGCAGGTTTACACGTATCTACAGGATAACAACAGGTGGACCAGAGGAGGCTGCGTCTTGTGTCGTGAACGCATTGAGTGTGACGTTTGTGGGCACGAACAAGTGTGGATGTGCTCTCTCGCAGAACTGCAGGACTGGACCGTATCGGTTGACGCGAATAGCGACTGCGGTTCAACGAGAGTGTGTTTTTGGACTTCGTCTCAAGCGGTGCTGTTGTGCAGAACTGTCGGGAACGAGGTAGAAGGCGAGCATTCATGCGCATCTGGCGCTTAGAATGCTCACAGCTCGACGGCGAACGTACCCCCAGATTGCTTTTAGCATGGTTGCTTTTTTGTACATCTCATGCGTCTACAACATGCGAAGTCACCGATCTCGATCTCCTGGCTTCGGACCTCGGAGGTCTGCGTCAGTTCTCGGCGGCTTTCCAGCTCCAGGGTGCTTTCCAGCAGCTGCGGCTCGCCGACAGCTTTCCAGCAGCTGCCTCCTCGTCCCGAACGGCCGCCGGAGATCCGAGGTCTGACCCGAAGACCAGACGACGAGGCTCATTCGGGCTGGACGAGAATAAAAGGGGTTCATGAAGCAGCCCGCTTCGTGCAGCTGGTTTAAACTCCACCGCCAGGCCCTTTCCGCGATGCACCGGCGTCTCTGGACGTGAGCCGATGCGGCCCCCAGCTGTCAATGATCTGGAGCGCTTTGGAACGACCGCGGCGCAGGACACGATGATCCGTAAGACGTGTGTTGCCCCGATAGCGTCTAGCCTGTGTGCGCCCTTGTCACACCGCGTGCGTTGTACTGGAAGGCTTGCGTGGACAGCCACACGGTGGCGCTCGCACACGTTCTGAGGACCATCGACCGACGCATTCTCCAGAGCCGCTGGATCTCAGAGGTCCCCGATGCGCTGGTCCGATGGTGTCCCGGTCCTAGATGTCGGGTTTTTGTAGAAGTGCCCATGGCCCAAGGTGCCCCCAGGATATCCAAGGAAGCCCCCGCCGCCTCCAGAGCATCCCTCGCGAGGCCTAGGGGGCCCCAGAGGCTTCAAAGTTGACCGAAAAGCTGGGGGGACCTTGGGCCAGGGGCAACTTCAGCAACCCTTCAGTCGGGCCTGTCCCTCTGCAGGAGGAATATTGAAAAATAGTAAAACAATAGTTTGGGGACGATTTGTTGAATATATATATATATATATATATATATATGTATGTATGTATGTATGTATGTATGTATGTATATATATATATAGTGGAGAATGTTTTATGTTGTTTCAATTTGTTCGTCCAAAATCTCCCTGTAGGAGGACAGGCCCGACTTAAGGCCAGGGGCAACTTCAGCAACCCCCGAATAGGAGGCCCAGTGCTGACCCGGCAGGAGCGGCCCCAGCACCCATCCCTGGCGCTTGCTGGTCGGCCCTGGGGCGTCTGCGAAGCAGTGCTGCCTTGTTCTGTTCCGCCTCTGGGTGCGTTTCGCAAACGGAGCGACGGAAACAACTCTCTGAGGGGCGGCTCTGCGAGAGTTCGGTGCGTTAGAAGAACTGACGGGCGACTCTTTGAATCGCGTGGCAGCTGCGATTGAGAAGAGTGGAGTTGGAGTTGATTTGTTTGTGTGGGGAAAGACGGCGGAGAAAATATGCATAAGCATAAACTTTCGACGGTCCGCGTGGATTTCTCGAGTCTGCGCTGGAGCGCGACAGGGGCGGTGCCGGGGGCGCCGCAAGTGGGTCTCCGCGCCGATCTAAGACATCCGCGCGAGCCGTCGAAAGTTGATATGTCTATGCGAGTGCGTTACTCTTTAAGAGTCCTTCGCTGGCAGTGTTTTTTTACCCTCTGTAGGAGCAGCTGGCAGAGCCTTCCCGTGCCCGTCAGGGGGCTGGACGAGGTCCTGACGGGCAACGCGAGGGGGGCAGATGCCCAGGGGAGGAGAAGGAGGAGGAGGAGGGGGAGGAGGAGGAGGAGGAGGATGCCTTGGAACCACCCGAATCGGTCGGATCACTATCTCATTCTACCAGACAGCCACCGTGCCTTACACCCACCTTAAGGCTCTCTTCGGGCGGCCTCCTCCGAGCCTCTGCTGTGGTGTGGACCTTCTGTTCCTTGCTGGAGACAGGAAGTGCCACGTCCACGCTCTTTGTTTGACCCCCGCTGAGGGGAAAGAACAAAGAAGGTAGTTGAAGACCGCAGGGAACACACAAAATTCCGAGCCTCTCCCGAGCCTTTGCACGATCCTCTGCACGAGCCTCTTACTACGAACCCTTGCGTGGCCTCTTACACGGCCTCTGTGCGGCCTCGTTGCGAGGATCCGCGAGGTTTCTGTCAGGCTTCATCATGATATTGGGAAGGCCTTGCGGCCTGCGCCGCCGACCCTGACGGCGGGACTTCCCCAGGGACCCCCGCTGGCGCCCCCACCCCACCCCCCGGGACGCGCCTGGACCCCGCAGGGGGCGGCATTTTGACCCGGGCCCATCATCCAGGGCCCCCCCCCCTGCAGGGAGGCTTCTGGGAGGCTGCTCAGAGGTTTCGCTGAGGTATCGGGGGCCGATTAGCCAGCACGAGAACCCCCTTCGTTGCTGCTGCCGCCGCCGCACTCCGCGGCCCGTCGCCGAGACGTAGCCGAAGAGCGGGTAGTATCCTCCGCTCGCTTCTCCTCCCGTTTTCGATCTCACCCTCGGCAGCCCATTCTTTCTTCCTGTGTTGACGAGTCGACCTCCCTGGCCTGGTGTTGCAGAACCCTGGGGCCTGACACAAGCTTCCAGGGGCAGGCAGTCCAGAAAACTACATCCACTCGCTTCTGATGCCGCCGCTTGCATCGGCCCGCCGTCAGCTTTGCGTATGATCGGATGGTCAGATCCCCCTCTTTGGTAAATAGCGGCGCTTCCAATTACCCAGCTGCCTGCGGCAAGCCAAGCCACCGTGTCTGTCAGACAGCGTCGCGGGACGAAATGAGAATTCCCAATGCTTCGCGTATCCCCCACCAGCGCTTATCCCCACCAGCTCGGCGATGATTCTGCCCTGCACCCTGCTTTCACTGTCGGTGTTCCCTGGGCCGCCGCTCCGCCTTGCTACCCCTCCTCTGGCGATCCGGGTCTACCGCCGAGCGCCTGCACGCTCGCCCCCTTCGACTTCACGTTCCTGGACTTGGTTTTCCTTGTGGGCGTGTTCGTGACCGTGGAGGGCACGGCATTAGTTACTTCGCCACTTTGGCGCTGCACGCGGACCACTTCGTCTTGGTCTTCCACGGCTTCGGCGTGTTCGTCCTGGCCATCGACGCGTTCTTCCTGTGCTTCCGCACCCCCCTCACTTCCTGAGCCGCAGCGTAGCTCGCTCCCTCTGCCTGTGGTTAATTGGGTGCCTGGCTCGGCTGCCTCGTCACTTTCGGCGCTCGGTTGGACCGTGGCGCTTGCGATCAAAAACCCGCAAGCTCGTCCAGGAACTATGCCAAGGCGATCTGCCTTGATCGGGGGAGCGGGGCATCATTTGGAAAGCTCGGGGTGCCTCCGTGGGCCAGCGGCCAGAGGCTTCTTGGATGCCTCTCGGACCGTCTTGGGATGTCCGGGGGCCTCTTGGGGCGTTTGGGGGCGGCCTCCTCGCAGCAATTGGGCGTCTCTCGTGTCGCTTTGGGTGCCTCTTGGAGGCCTCGTGGCACCTTCCAGGGTTTCCTTTAATCTTCAGTATCAGTTCGGATCTGCCACGCTTCCATACTGATGTTTATGCTGCATCGTAGTTCTAGCCAGTCGTTGCTGCTTCGTTTCCACAGAACCCAGACTCGTTGCGCCACAACCAGGTCGCAAAGCATCGACCAAAACCGAGGCGTTCTCACTTAAGGGAAATCATCCCATCCTGAAGCTACGTTGAACAGCGCGTACGCTAGTTTACTCTGTCGTCAACGACGCCCGTGCTCACCGCAAGCAGTAGGGACCGATCGCACTTGCCCTTCCGGTTGCGATCTGGCACCATCGCAGGCTCAGGGGGAACGCAGCGACATTCAATCGCCCACTCATTGCCGATGGGGGCCTGCTAGCCCACCCCGTCCAGGGTCCAGGACCGCGTGGTCTTGCCATCTGGGGGCTATCGCCGATATATTGGCGATGTCTCGCCGATGCAAACTCGTGGGCCTAGAGGATGGCACCAGCACCAGCATCACCGTTTGCCTCAGCCGAGGGAAGCTGTCTCTGATGTTTTCTGATGATCGTATTCGGGCCCCTCGTGTGGCCGGGTGATTACGACCAGCACTCGCGTCCAAGATCATGTCCCCGGGTGGATGTGAACTTTTGTGTTGGTATGGGTACGAAATTCTGGGCTCGCAACAACTCGTAATGGGACCTTTTTACACCACCACCACCATAAGTTGGAAGGGGAAGGGGGTCCTCCTCCTCCTCGTCCTTGGCTTCCTCCACCACCTCCTCCTCCTCTTCGTCCTCCTCCGCCCCCTCCAACGTATTGTGGTGGTGGAAAACAGGGCCATCAACTCGTGGGCAAAGCACATATCCGTATCCGCGGCCTCGCCTGCCGGGCCTCTGGGCAACGACCCCCCCGGATGCGGGGCGTTTTTTTTCGCGGGGACACCCTCGCGGAACGTGCCCGTGCGTTCGCGTATCCATTGGGATCGCGCGTCGGTGTCCACAATGCGGGAGCGCAGATCTTCGGGCGTTGCTAAAAGTACCCCTGGCCGAAGGTACCCCCAGGATTCTCGTGGTGGCCCAGACGGCCTCCGGGGCACCCCCCACGAGGCCCAGAGGGCTTCCGGGGCTCCAACATGGAACGAAAAGCTGGGGGCATTTCGGGTCAGGGGCAATTTTAGCAACACCCGAGATATGGATGGAGTCAAATCGATAGTCCAGATGGGTAGCATTCCCAATGGCACCCTTGCCTACGGTCCATCCTTAACCACTATCGACGGCCAGCCCTTTTCGAAGCGCTTCGACGTGCGCGTCCCGGGGGGGTTGTATCCTGATCGCGCATCCTTGCTATCAGTTTTGACTGTTCGCTCGCCGCTCGTGGACAACCTGGGGCGGCACGGAAACGGAAACAACGCCTCAGGAACTAGCCCGAGAGGGCTCATGGCACCCTTCGCTCTTGGGAGCCTTGATGTGAAGAGCTTGTTACCTCGCCGCTCTCCGTTGGGAGCCCTGGTGTTCAGAGACTGTTGCGCTGCCGCTCGCTCTTGAGAGCCTTGGTGTGACGAGCTTTGTACGTCACCGCGCTTTGGGGAGCCTTAGTGTCAAGAGCTTGTTACGTCACCGCTTGCTGATGGGAGCCATGGTGTTCTTGAGCGTCTCTTGGGCCTCGTCGGGGTCTTCTTGGCGCCCTTTTGGACCGCATCGGGGGCCATTTTGTAGCAATTCTGGGCCGTCTTGGGGCCCTTTTGGGCCGTCAAGGGGCGTCTTGGAAGCCTTTGGCCGTCTTGGGGCTCTCTTGGGGGCCTCTTGGGGCCCTCTTGGGAGCCTCTTGGGGCCTCTTGGGACTCTCTTGGGGCCGCCTTGGGGCCCTCTTGGGGTCTCTGGGGCTGTTTGGGGGCCCTCTTGGGCCGTCTGGGGGCTCTTTCTGAATGCGCGGGCTCCTCGGAGCCCGTCACGTCGTCGTCGAACCTTTTGTTCAGGACACGGAGCACCCCATGCTCCGAAACATGTGCTGCGGCCAGCCGCCGCTGCAAAGGGCGCAACTCGCCCTGTTGTCTAAAATCCCGCCATCCCGCAACCGAGCCTCAAAGGCTGCGAGGAGGGCAACATGCTGGGCTGAAACCCTCATACGATCTCAATCACAATCAAACTCTTGGACCGTTTTCCGCCTCTTTGGGGGGCCTCTGGGGCCGTCATGGGACGAGCTTTGGGACGTCATGGACCGTGTTGGGCCCGTCTGGGCCCGAAAAGGCGAGAACCAGGAAAAGCTTCAAAAACCTCATGGATATCAATGTTTTTGGGCTCCCGAGGCCCTCTCGAGGGCCCTATGGGGGATCTCTGGAGCCGTCTCAAAGCTTTCTTGGACCGTGTGGAGGCCATCCGGAGCTCTCTTGGGGCCGTCGTTGGGTAGGTTTGGTGCCCTGTTGGGCCGCTTTGGGGCCCTTGAGCCGCTTCATTCGACAAAACACTAGGAAACAGGTCGTGGAAGGCGCCCGCGAGCCGCTTCATTCGAGAAAATACAAGGGAAACGGCCCCCCGGCGGTCATGGGACGCATGCGCCCCTCCCCTGGAACCCCTCCCTAGAGGGCTTCGCCCCACACTAGAGCGTCATCACTCGTACCGCGTTCTTTCCGTTACCTTGTTCGATGGCAAATCATGGGAGATGTGTGTGCCTTTGTAAGTTTGTTTTTAGCGCCGACTAGCGTCGATTAGCGTCTGGGAGTCGATGGGTCAGCACTGATTTAGTGTCGATTAGCGTCGCTCTAGCGTCGACTAGCGTCGATTTAGCGTCGACCAGCGTCGATTCGCCAGAGCCGACAAGATGGTATGGAAGGCCCCCATGAGTTGCCACGAAACCTTGGCCCTCAGGTCCTCCAGGGCTCGGGAGGCCGCCCGTTCGACCTGGTGAAGCTGGACACCAACGGCAATGAGGCCGAGGTCCTCGCGGCAGCACCCGCGCTGCTGTCCACGCGCCCGCCGGTGGTGCAGTGCGAGATCTTCCCAGGCGCCGTGCGTGCATCAAAAGTCGAAGAAGATTAAACGCCGTAAACGTCAGCTTTTGGCGCTCCGCGCGGATTTCTCGGATCCGCGCTGGGCCCACCCGGCGGTGCCTCTGGCGCCGCCCCTGGCGCGCTCCGCGCGGCAGAGAGCCCAGGTCCAAGGAATCCGCGCAGACCTCCAACAGTTTATGTTTAGGCCGTTCGTTCTTTGTCTAAAAAAGAAGGCTCCAGGCGGCAGCGGCATCGCGGTCCGAGGTTTCTGGACGCGTTTGTCGGTTCCTGGCAGCTTTCCGCCCTCGGGGTGCGTTCCATCGGCTGCGCCCTGTCGACAGCGTTCTGGGTTTGCTCGGATCGTCCCGATCGGCCGCCCGGGAGCCGAGGTATGACCCGGCAACCATATGGTCAACGTTAGGGGGGGAGATGCTCAGGGGGGAACTCACCGACCCCCAATGGCCCTTTCAATGCCGAAAGGAGCCCGATAGCCCACCCTGCTCAACCCTCTGTGCCGATCCACAGCGTTCCCCCTCACAGGTAGATTCTATACGCAACACAGGGCACGGCGTAAGTTGGCGGATGGCGGCGAAAGTAGAATGGCGACGGTTCCGCTGGCGGAAAATCGGCGGAAGTAAAAGCGAGGCGTCAGCAATTTAGGGTTCAAGGTTTCTTGGGTCGGTCGCATGTTGCTTCCACGTTGACTCTGTTTTTTTGTCAATGCTGCAACCACTGCTGTTTGACTGTCGTCTTTGACGCTGCTGAAGTTACTGCGCCTGACGCCTGTACTGATACTGCTGGCCTTGCTGTTCACGCTTTTCTTGTTGCAATTGTCGTCGCTAATGCGTGCCGCTGCCACTGGACTTCCGCCGATACAGCCGATAGTGTGGTACTGATGCTAACATTGCCATGCCAATGTGCTTCCAATACGCTTGCATTTCGGATGCTGTTGATGTCATTGTTGCCAGTCTAGCCTCTCCTGGTGCTACTGCCGAAATACGGTACCATGGGACATTTCTTGTGCTCAAGCATGTAACTGCTATTACTTATGCTAGCTTTTAAAGCCTACTCCCACCACTACTAGTGCTACTGGTGCTACTGCTGCCGGCACAGATTGCCGACGCGGCTCCTCCTGCCATCGACGTTTTTGTCCTGATGCTACTGCTGCTATTTCTGGTGGTGCTGAGTGATGCTATTATAGACGCGTCGCGTAATCCCACCAGCCCATCCAGAAACGATGCCCAGGCGAGTTGCCCTGACCAGGCACGCGGGGGAGCACGTAGTGGAAGTCATGCTAGGACGCCGTCATGCCCCAAGAGGGGGAGGATGGGAAGCCGTCATGCTTCAAGATGCGTTGCACCTACGCTCTGGGGCCGCAGGTGGAACTCCTTGCAGGGCAAGATCCGTGTGAGAGGTGTGCCAGCGTGATTTGGGCGACGCTATGCGAAGCTTCCCTATAAGTGGAGTTGCATCCGCGTGAGGGGTGTGCCGCTATGCGATGGGGCCGTTGGTGGGGCTCCCTGTGGGGCATGATTCCTGTGACGGGTGTGCCGAGATGGGGGGGGGGGGGACGTAGGTGGAGCTCTCTGAGGGCACGATCAATGTGAAGGATGTGCCGAAATAGGCGGGGAGACATTATTCAAGTATGTATGCCCACGATAGCGCAGGTGTTCCCAAGTGTTGATCGTGGTGGGATGGCGGATTGCGTGCCTACCCATCCGATTGCTGTGACGCTGGCTTTGCCTTGGCTAGAGAATAAGCGCGCGAAGCGCTGTCGCGTTATTCTAGAATATATGTTTACGTATACATTACGTAGGGAAATATCTCGATACACACATTTGTATGTGTGTACCATACATCTTAGTATATCTACATTCGTGCGCCGATGTGTAGTTCGTAGTGTATCCTACACAGATATACATATTCTGAGGTCCGCGCGGATTTCTTGGATTGGCGCTGGACCCTCCTGGCGGCGCCTCTGGCGCCGCCTGGCGCGCTCTCATTGCGCCACGGAGGGGGTCAAACGCCGATCCAAGAGATCCGCCTGGACCTCCGAAAAGTTTGAAGTCTATGCCGATGTGGTGTTTCTTCGTCTTTTTTCTAGTTCCACGGGTGGGCCTGTCCAGAATGGGCGTTTGCCCGAGGTCTCGAGGCATGTCCCGGAAGTTGCCGATTCGGATTCCAGCTCCCATCGCGAGGCAGTCTCGGGAGGCCTTTGGCTGGATGGGGCACCTTGGAACGGTGCCACTACCTGGAGGCATGTTTTGCCCCGAGTATGCCGATGTTTGCCGCGACTGACTTTATGAAGTGCCTCGCGCGCCTCTAGTGGGCGATGCCCTTCCCAGAAAGCCCCTTGCTATGTCTCGTTTGGCCTGTCTTGGCCTGTCAGCCTCATCAATGGAGGCCCTGGGAGGCATCTGGCTGGGTGGGGGCAGGCTCGTGCCCTGCTGGCGCTACTGGTGCTGCTGGTGCTGAGGCTGCAACCATTTATATGAGTTCCACTGGTGCTGGCTCGTGTGATGTTCGGCTGTTGCCGCCAAGTGTTGATGGTGGCAGTTCGCTGTTTTCGCTACGCATGTTGGTACTGTTGGTCCGACTGCTGCTACTACTGCAAATGTATCTGACTAGGCTAATGCACTCGCTACTGCTACGCGGACCGCTGTTGCTCATTGTGCTACATATTGGCCAAACTTCGATTCCTAGCGGTGATGTTGGCGCTGCCGAGTCTGCTGCAAGTGTTGTGGTTGGCCGTTCTATTGTTGCTACCTCCTTTTGCTCGCCTTCTTCACCGTCATCGTTCCCCCCTCCTCGTTTGCTTCACCCTCCTCTGCCGATCGCTCCATGTTCTGCTGCTGCGGATATGGGCCTCGTAGTTAATCATGCTGCTGTTGTTGTGTGTGTGTGCGTGCTGATGTTGCTGCAGTGTTGCTGCGTTAGTCTTGAAGCGACATCTCCGTTTTGGGCTGGAATGACGGGTCGTCTGGATGCCTCTCCAGCCTTGAAGCGGCAGCTCCAGTCTTGGCTGGAATGGCGGGGCGTTTCCACGTGCGGTCACGGCGGGGGTTATCATGTTGTGACTTCTGTTGGTGCTAGCTGCGCTTCAGTTAATATCGAGATCGCGTAAATGTGAGCGTGCCTCTCGCTCATATGCTGGACCCGCCGAACGCCACCCCCACATTCGCACGGCTACGTTTCGTCTGTGGCCGTTCTGGCTCAAGCGATTTTCGGGGCCGCAAGCCCCGCTACCCCCCCTTCCCCTTCCTCTGGCACTCCTTCTCCCTCCTCTTTTCGCCGGCGCATGCATCCTCGTCCTTGCTCCCGCTTGTCCCTTCCCTCCTCCTGCCTGTCGTCATCCACAACCTCTCCCGCGCTCCTCCTGCTCGTTATCGTGTTGGTCTTTCTCAACCTCATCTCCCCCCTCATGCTCCCCTCCTCCTTCTCTCCGTGCCGCTCGATAGCGACAGCGGGCCCTCGATGCGAATTTCACTTATCATCTGGATCGTCTCAGCCAGTTTCCGAGTTCGAGCAGGCGTGGGGTGCCAGGGCTCCTGTGTGGCCGACCCAGCGGCGATCCGAGGCCTGGTCGTGCCCAGTGGCTACATGCGGCTACGCGTGAGAGCGGCTCTCGGGGGGCAAGGGGGGGGGGACCCGAGCCAGTCACGCGGGTCACCACGTCGCATCGCGAGTAAGGCGATCGGCAGGCCGCGCAACGAAGGTCACTCCTGCTCAGGGCCACTCTCTGAGTGTAGCCAATGCCTTCGGGTCCCAGACGGCCCGGGAATGCCCACCCCCACCGCCCCCTGGGGGGCACAGGAAGGTCTCCCCCCCCCGCTGGGCGACGGATGCGTATACATCCCCGCCTCGGGCCGTCCTCTGCACCGCCTCTCCTCACCTCCAGGGTGGGCAGGGGTGCAAGAGGCATCCAAGAGGACTCCCAAGAGGGCCCGCAGAAGCAACAATGGCCCCATCCCCTTTCGGAAAACGTGCATTTTAATAACATTCGCCCAGAGGCCTCCAAGCTCGCGCCACGACGGCCAAAGAGGGTCCCAGAAGGCCCCAAGATCGCACCAGACGGCCAAAGAGAGTTCCAAGAGGGCCTCAAGACGGCTCAAGTGGGGTTCAGGAGTGACCTAGAGGCCCCCAAGGCAGCCCAAGAAGGCCCCAGGACCGCTCCCAGAAAGGGCTCACAGGGGTACCCGACCTAACATTTCCAGCCGTCCTCCCCGAAGAGAGCCCTCGGAGACCCCCAGAAGGCACCCCAAAGCATCCAGAATGCCCCAAGAGGCCCTCCACAGGCCCCCAAGAGGCCTCCAAGAGGCCCCCAGGAAGCCGAACATGATCCGCAGGCAGCCCCCCAAACCGCCCAAGACGGCCCAAGGGGCATCCAAGAGGACTCCCTAAGAGGGCCCGCAGAAGCAGAAATGGTCCCATTCCCTCCGGAAAAACGTGCAGTTTTATCATGTTCGCCTAGAGGCCTCCAAGATCGCGCCAAGACGGCCAAAGAGGGCCCCAGAAGGCCCCAAGATCGCACCAGACAGCCAAAGAGAGTTCCAAGAGGGCCCCAAGACGGCTCAAGTGGGGTTCAGGAGTGACCTAGAGGCCCCCAAGACAGCCCAAGAAGGCCCCAGGACCGCACCCAGAAAGTGCTCACAGGAGTACCCGACCTAACATTTCCAGCCGTCCTCCCCGAAGAGAGCCTTCCCGTGCACGACGCCCGGGCGCCCGGGGCGGCTGCCCCGAGGGGGCTCAGGAGGCCTCCAAACAGCCGAAGACGCCCAGAATCTCAGAATTGTCGCTCCAAGATGCCGAAAAGGTCCGCAGACAGCCCCCCAAACCGCCCAAGACGGCCCAAGAGGCATCCAAGAGGATTCCCAAGAGGGCCCGCAGAAGCAAAAATGGCCCCATCCCCTTTCGGAAAACGTGCATTTTTATTACATTCGGCCAGAGGCCTCCAAGCTCGCGCCACGACGGCCAAAGAGGGTCCCAGAGGGCCCCAAGTTCGCGCCAAGACGGCCA